CCAGTGTTGTTTAATGGACCGTAGACTGCATTAGATGGCAGTTAGGAGGATCCAGCCATAATAGGATTCCTATTGTTAGCTGGATTCCACAGAAAATCCTGGTATTAAGATACTTGTTAGGCTGGTAAAGCTGCTATGAGACCCTGAAATTTAGTGGCTTAAATGAGAGAAGTTTCTCTTTCATGAAACAGCCCGAACAGTAAAACAGAACTGATAAGGGCAGCTTCTGGTGCCTTCTAATCTCCAGCCTCACCTGTGGTCTAGGATAGCTGCTCCAGGTCCCACTTCCTGTCTGCATTTCTCAAAAGGAAGACATATTGCATACCCTCATCCAAGGGTACCGCTCCCTAGCAGTGTACACTGTCTGTTGCCTCCACTTAGTCACTGGGCCACAGGATGTGTGTTTAGCTGGACAACAGTGTCCAGCTCCAGCTGGGACTTCTGTTATTAAAAGAGTGGATGCTACTGGCAACAGCCTCTATCACCATATACAATCTCTCAAATCAGTACTCTCCACTCTGAATCACTGGGATTTATGATTACTATAACAAAATCCCTCACAAAGGAGGCTGATGCTGCTACTGCCTGTATGCATGCTCAGTTGCTCAGTCATGTCCAACTCTTTTTGACCCCATGGACTGGCTCTTCTGTCCATGGGATTTTTCAAGCAAGAATACTGAAACGGGTTGCCAATTCCTTCTCCAGGGGATCATCCCTACCCAGGATTCAAACCCTTGGTCTCATGTCTCCTGCGTTGCAGGTAGATTCTTTACCACTTAGTCATTGGGGAAGCCCTTAAAGTCATATATATAACATTTATAATTTTTAAAAAGTATAGAAGTGGTAGTAACAGCTAATGTTTATAAAGTCTTGCACTGTAGCAAGAGCCTGGCACATATTAAGCCTCATCTCTGAGACAGTGCAATTATCATTCTATTTTATCCCTGAAAAAAAAACACAACACAGGGAAATTAAAGAATTCACCTAAAGTTACCTGGCAGGCAGGGGCGGTCTGACCCAGTGCTTGGAGCTCTCATCACTGAACAATGGCACAGACTCAGAAATGTCAAGTCTGAGGAGAGGCTGGGGATAGAGATCCATCCTCAAGTACTTAGAAATTAAAGAGAATATAAGGTAAGATCTCATCTAACAGGGTGCTCTTTATCCCTTTTCAAATGTGGTTATTTTATTGTCTGCACCCTGTGGCATGTGGAATCCTAGTTCCCTTCAGTTCAGTTCAGTTCAGTTGCTCAGTCGTGTCCGACTCTTTGTGACCCCATGAATCGCAGCACGCCAGGCCTCCCTGTCCATCACCAACTCCCGGAGTTTACTCAAACTCATGCCCTTTGAGTCGGTGATGCCATCCAGCCATCTCATCCTCTGTCATCCCCTTCTCCTGCCCCCAATCCCTCCCAGCATCAGGGTCTTTTCAAATGAGTCAACTCTTCGCATGAGGTGGCCAAAGTACTGGATGGAGTTTCAGCTTCAGCATCAGTCCTTCCAATGAACACCCAGGACTGATCTCCTTTAGGAGTGACTGGTTGGATCTCCTTGCAGCCCAAGGGACTCTCAAGAGTCTTCTCCAACACCACAGTTCAAAAGCATCAATACTTCAGTGCTCAGCCTTCTTCACAGTCCAACTCTCACATCCATACATGACCACTGGAAAAACCATAGCCTTGACCAGATGGACCTTTGTTGGCAAAGTAATGTCTCTGCTTTTTAATATGCTATCTAGGTTGGTCATCACTTTCCTTCCTAGTTCCCTTACCAGGGATCAAACCAGCATTGCAGTAGAAGCACAAGGAGTCTTAGCTACTGAACCACCAGGGAAGTCCCTATTCCTTTTTAAATGTAGGCAAAACATATGCTAAAATAGGCACAGATTTTAAGTGTATATTTTGGTGAGCTTTGACAAATATCAATCAAATGTGTACTGGTATTCCTATCAATGCAAGTAAGATGCAGAGAGCTTCACACAGTGGAAGTCCCTCATGTCCCTCCCAGCTCACCACCCCAGAGGCAACCCCTGGTCCGACTTCTATCACCAGAAGCTTTGCCTTGAGCTTGAGCCTCTTATAAATGAAATTATGCAGTATCGTTCTTGTGTGGCATTCTCAGCAAGGTTTTGATTCAGCCATGTTGTATCTAATAATAAACCTCTGTGCAGGATTATCATATGACGATTCTAAATTTATCCGTTCTTCTGGGGTTTACCAAAACAACCTGGGTGTTTCTTGCTTGGCTATTCTGAATAAAGCTGCTGTGAACATTCTGAGAACTTTCATTTTTCACATCCAGGCCCGCACTGCTGAACCACAGGGAGGCATACATTTAACTTCATTAAAAACTGCTTCGTGGTTTTCAAAGTGGTTGATTCATTTTACACTCCTACCAGCAGTGTATGAGAATTCTAAAACAGCCCCACATCCTCACAAACTTTGATACTGTCAGTCTTCTAATTTTAACCATTCCTGGTGGGTAGAAAGCAATATCATTGTGGGTTTGATTTGGACTTCACGCATTCTCAAATTCACTGACTCTTCAATTGTTGTGCTCAACTGACTGTTCAGTTCAGTTCAGTTCAGTTCAGTCCAGTCGCTCAGTCGTGTCTGACTCTTTGCGACCCCATGAATCGCAGCATGCGAGGCCTCCCAGTCCATCACCAACTCCCAGAGTTTATTCAAACTCATGTCCATTGAGTCGGTGATGCCATCTGGCCATCTCATCCTCTGTCGTCCCCTTCTCCTCCTGCCCACAATCCCTCCCAGCATCAGGGTCTTTTCCAATGAGTCAACTCTTCGCATGAGGTGGCCAAAGTATTGGAGTTTCAGCTTCGGCATCAGTCCTTCCAATGAACACCCACGACTTATATCCTTCGGGATGGACTGGTTGGATCTCCTTGCAGTCCAAGGGACTCTCAAGAGTCTTCTCCAACATCATAGTTCAAAAGCATCAATTTTTCGGTGCTCAGCTTTCTTTATAGTCCAACTCTCACATCCATATATGACCACTGGAAAAACCATAGCCTTGACTAGACAGACCTTTGTTGGCAAAGTAATGTCTCTGCTTTTTAATACGCCATCTAGGTTGGTCATAACTTTCCTTCCAAGGAGTAAGCGTCTTTTAATTTCATGGCTGCAGTCACCATCTGCAGTGATTTTGGAGCCCAAAAAAATAAAGTCTGACACTCTTTCCACTGTTTCCCCATCTACTTCCCATGAAGTGATGGGACCAGATGCCATGATCTTAGTTTTCTGAATGTTGAGCTTTAAGCCAATTTTTTCACTCTCCTCTTTCACTTTCATCAAGAGGCTTTTTAGTTCCTCTTCAGATGGGAAGAGTCAGATTATCTGCCTGACCTGTGAAGAGGAACTAAAAAGCCACTTGATGAAAGTGAAAGAGGAATTGACTGTTAGTACTGTCCAATTAATTTTTTTTAACCAAGGAAGTCAATTTTATTTCTTTAGGGTTTTTTCTATTTAAAAAGTAAATGTATAAATTACACAGTAAAATTCGCCTTTGTATTGTACATGCCTGAGAGTTTTGACAAGCGTAGTTGTGTGACCCCACCACTATTAAGACAGATGCTTCCACCAGTTGCTAAAATTGCCTAAGCCACTGTATAGTCAGCCCTTCCCCTGCCTGCAGCAACCACTCCCCTGCCTGTCCATCTGCGTGGAAGTCCAGTGAATGGGGTCACCTGGTCACTTTAGGTACATCTGTCCATTGTGTCTGGGAAGCCATGGGTGGCTACAGGGATAGGATGGTGAGAAAGTAACCTACACTGGCTAAGAAAGTAAGGCGAGTCAGATAAGCTAGACAAGCCAAATGCAGACATGAGTCTGCTGCCAAGTTAAAAGGAATTGTTGCACAGAAGAATCAATTCTGACTCCATGCTGAAACTGTTTCTTTGACTTGCTTTTCGTTGCTGTTATTATAATCATACATAAATGGCACGCCTCAAAGGACCCTGCTCCTCTGCCAGACTGTTAAAGTGGGTTTGTTCAGCTCATAGAGGGATAATCTAACCCTGCCCACCTGCGCATGGCTGCAAGAGAGATTAACACATCCCTTCCAAAGATTGGCCATTTCCAGAGATGTTTTGCAAGACTGATGGCCCTTTTAATTCCTAATCATCTCTCCCTCTCTATTCTGCCTTTTGACTTTAGTTCCTCGTTAATTCTGTCTATAAAAAAAAAAAAAAACATGCCATCCTGAGACTTTAGTCTGCCATCTTCTCAGTCAGACAGCTCTCCAAATAAATTCTTATACCTTGCCACTACACCTCGTCTCTTGAACTCATCGGGCCCGCCTTGCGCGAGCACAGCAAGCTTCAACACGGTAACAGAGTCGTGCTGCAGCTAGAAAGTGCACGGAGAAACTTGTCTTCTAGAATCACAAGCTGTCAAAAACCTTGTTTGAAAGCATGTCCGTAAGTAAAATACCAGGCGCTGGCCTGTAGGAGTCTGGTCGCTCTGAACCGCAAAGCAGCCGCGTTTCCACCTAGCGCAACAGAGAAACCAAAGCGGTTCATTTGTGGTTCCACCGTGGGCCTGGCCTGAACCCCCAGCACAACCTCCTCCCAGACCCCAGGGACTCCCTCGGAGACCCGCCCGCGCCTGGACAACCTCTTTCTAGGGCTCCAGGCCCGGGCCTCAGGATCTGTGGATCTGCCTTCGGACCCGCCCCTGGGGGCCGTCTTTCTGCCCGAGGACCCCGCGCGCCGACTGCCCGCGCCACTGCCCGACCACGCCCTCACGTGCCCTGAGCCTGAAGGCGCGGCGGCAGCGGCCGCGCTCCCTTGTCGGGCCGCCGGGCGCCGTCGTGGGATCAAGCACCCTGCCTCGCGCGTGCGGATCCGGCCCCGCCCCGGCTGCCCCCGGGCGCGGCGCCGTCAGGCAGTGGTGCAGGCAGCCTGGCGCGCGGGGTCCTCGGGCGAGTGGGCCTCGGCGGCGGCGGCGGCGGCGGCGGCGGCGGCAACCGGGCGAGCTGTGGCGATGCTGTGGCCGCGGCTGGCGGCCACTGAGTGGGCGGCGCTGGCCTGGGAGCTGCTGGGCGCCTCGGTGCTGCTGATCGCGGTGCGCTGGCTGGTGCGGCGGTTGGACAGGCGGCCGCGGGGCCTGGGTCAGAGCGGTCCACCCGCCCCGCCGCCCCGCGCGGCCGCGGGCCCAGCCCCCGATCCAGGTAAGACCGGTTCGCGGGTGGGCCCTCTCCCTTGCCCGGGCCTGGGTCCTCCTTCCCTTCTTCTCCCACCCGCCTCCCCGGCTCGGGTCCCCCCGAGCTTCTCCTCTCCGGGCTTGGATTCCCTTGCCCGGCCTGAGTCGGTGTTCTGGGGAGAGACCTGAAGTAAAACGCGCGAGTCCTTGCCTTGCAGGCGGTGAGAGCGCCGCAATGCTGGATGCCCGGGGGCACGTTTGTGCCCAGTTTTGTGGGTCTGAGCCCCCTGATTTGACCGAGAAGGCAGTGTGCACCCTGCGTGCATCCCAGATCCTCCTTCGTTCAGTTTTCTTTTCACCGCGTTGCCCGCAAGTCTGGTTTCTTCCTGGAGGATAAACAACAGTTTCTCAAATACCCTGATAAGGAGATAGAATTTTATTAGCATCAACACGTTGATGACCCTACCTAGACATCTCGGGGCTGCAGCGGTCCTTACAGATGACTTAATTTTTACAGCTGAGGGAGCAGGCCTCAGGAAGGTCCCGCTCGGCGGGGATGACAAGTCCGAGGCAGAAGCCGTGTGGAGATGCAGGCCTGTTCACACGAGGTCCAGCTTGCCCTCCAACCTGTTGGGTTTCTGGTTGTTTACCTTCTCTCATCCCCTTCAGAAAGTTTCAGATGATATCTTTAGTAAATAGCGTGCTGCTGTGTCCAGGTACACTGTCAGCACTGTGTCAGAAAACCCACTGTGACAGAAAACCCTGTCAGAAAACAGGACGCCCCAGTGAAAGGCTATGCAAACACTAAGACCGAAGACGGTTGGGGCTAGTGGTGTCTGAAAAGTGATGGGAAAGCCGCTGTCAGTCTCTTTGCAACCTGATGGACTGTAGCTCGCCAGGCTCCTCTGTCCATGGGATTCTCCAAGCAAGAATACTGGAGTGGAAAAAAAAAAAAAAAGAATACTGGAGTGGGTTGCCCTTCCCTTCTCCAGGGGAATCTTCCTGACCCAGGCAAGGAACCCGGGTCTCTTGTACTGCAGGCAGATTCTTTAGGGTCTGAGCCACCAGAGGCTAAGAAATTACAGTTTGGAGTGTCTTATTTATTAAGTTCTTTTTAAATTTTCAACTTATATTTCTAAGTCACTTCAGACAAAAAATTACAAATGGTACAGAAGAAATAAACACGTGTGAAAAGATGTTCAACATCACTAGCCAGTCATGAAATTGCAAATTAAACTTACAATGAGATATCACTACACACCTGTGAGAATGTCTAAAATAAAAAATACCAATGACATTTGGTAATGCTAGTGGAAACGCTGAGAAACTGGGTCTCATTTACTGCTGGTAGAAATTTTTTTTTTAAAATTTATTGCTGGTAAAAAATTTTTTTCTATTGCTGGTAAAAATTTTAAAGGTGCAGTCATTCTGAAGTCAAACTCCCAGTTTCTCAAATAGTTGAACCTGTACTTCACTCTTGGGCATTTATCCTAGAGGGTCGAAAACTTACTTTCACACAAAAACCCTTATGCAAACGTTTATAACTTCATTTGTAATTGCCAAAAACTGGAACAGCCCAGATGTGTCTGAAGGATAAAACTGGCACCTTCATGCTGTGGAATGCTGCTCAGCAGTGAGGCCAAACTGTTGATCCCTCAACAACTCGGATGGATCTCAAGGGCATTACGCTGAGTGAAAAAAGCCAACCTCAAAAGGTGTAGTGTATAATTCCATTTATATAACGTGAAGTAAAGGTATTATAACAATGGGGGACACTTCAGTGGTTTTCATGGGTAGGGGACAGTGGAGGAAGTTGGGTATGACAGTTAAGGGTTGGCAGAAAGATCTTTGTGGTGAGGGAACAGTTCAGTAATTTAGCATGTCTGTGTGAAGCTATTCGTGTGATAAACGATCATATGGTAAGCGATCACAGAGTTACATACAAAGACCCAAGAGGAGAGTGACTGCAGAACCTGGTGAGGGTGCGGTTAGGTCAGTGTGCAGTGCCAGGGTCGGCTGCCTGGGTTGGATGCAGTGTTTCAGGTGTCCCACTGAGGGAAGCCACAGGGTGACTCCACAAGACTTCTCTGTACCATTTTTCAACTCCTTGTGTTTATCATTAAAATATAAAATAAAGAGTTAAAGAAACCCTGTATACATCCACTTAGATTCCCAAATGTTAGGATCTTGTGTAATCATACTGCTAGTAATAAAGTCAGGAAGTATTATACAGTCTGCAGACCTGCCTCAGTTTCTTAATCTGTGTCTTTATGTCTCTATCAAATGAATGGACATGTTGCAGATACTTCTAACTCTAGCCGAAGGGTCAGCAAACTATGGCCCACAGGCCAAATCTGGCTCCAACGTGTTTTTGGAAGACAGCCATCTTTCATCTCTAGCTCTTGAGTGTTTGCAGGTTCTTTGGCTCATCAGTTCAGTTCAGTTCAGTCACTCAGTCATGTTCCACTCTTTGCGATCCCATGAATCGCAGCAAGCCAGGCCTCCCTGTCCATCACAAACTCCCGGAGTTTACTCAAACTCATGCCCATCCAGTCAGTGATGTCATCCAGCTATCTCATCCTCTGTCGTCCCCTTCCCCTCCCAGCATCAGGGTCTTTTCCAATGAATCCGCTCTTCGCATGAGGTGGCCAAAGTATTGGAGTTTCAGCTTCAGCATCAGTCCTTCCAATGAACACCCACAACTTATCTCCTTCAGGATGGACTGGTTGGATCTCCTTGCAGTCTGAGGGACTCTGAAGAGTCTTCTCCAACACCACAGTTCAAAAGCATCAATTTTTCGGCACTCAGCTTTCTTCACAGTCCAACTCTCACATCCATACATGACCACTGAAAAAACCATAGCCTTGACCAGACGGACCTTTGTTGACAAAGTAATGTCTCTGCTTTTTAATATGCTATCTAGGTTGGTCATAACTTTCCTTCCAAGGAGTAAGCATCTTTTAATTTCATGGCTGCAGTCACCATCTGCAGTGATTTTGGAGCCCCCAAAATAAACTCTGACACTGTTTCCACTGTCTCCTCATCTATTTCCCATGAGGTGATGGGACCAGATGCCATGATCTTAATTTTCTGAATGTTGAGCTTTAAGCCAGCTTTTTCACTCTCCTCTTTCACTTTCATCAAGAGGCTTTTTAGTTCCTCTTCACTTTCTGCCATAAGGGTGGTGTCATCTGCATATCTGAGGTTATTAATATTTCTACTGACAATCTTAATTCCAGCTGTGCTTCTTCCAGCCCAGCGTTTCTCATGATGTACTCTGCATAGAAGTTAAATAAGCAGGGTGACAATATACAGCCTTGACATACTCCTTTTCCTATTTGGAACCAGTCTGTTGTTCCATGTCCAGTTCTAACTGTTGCTTCCTGACCTACATATAGGTTCTCAAGAGGCAGGTCAGGTGATCTGGTATTCCCATCGCCTTCAGAATTTTCCACAGTTTATTGTGATCCACACAGTTGAAGGCTTTGGCGTAGTCAATAAAGCAGAAAGAGATATTTTTCTGGAACTCTCTTGCTTTTTCGGTGATCCAGCAGATGTTGGCAATTTGATCTCTTGTTCCTCTGCCTTTTCTAAAACCAGCTTGAACATCTGGAAGTTCTCGGTTCACGTATTGCTGAAGCCTGGCTTGGAGAATTTTGATCATTACTTTACTAGCGTGTGAGATGAGTGCAGTTGTGCGATAGTTTGCGCATTCTTTGGGATTGCCTTTCGTAGGGATTGGAATGAAAACTGACCGTTTCCAGTCCTGTGGCCACTGCTGAGTTTTCCAAATTTGCTGGCATACTGAGTGCAGCACTTTCACAGCATCAGCTTTCAGGATTTGAAATAGCTCAACTGGAATTCCATCACCTCCACTAGCTTTGTTTGTAGTGATGCTTTCTAAGGCCCACTTGACTTCACATTCCAGGATGTCTGGTTCTAGGTGAGTGATCACACCATTGTGATTATCTGGGTCATGAAGATCTTTTTTGTACCAGTTCTTCTGTGTATTCTTGCCACCTCCTCTTAATATCTTCTGCTTCTGTTAGGTCCATACCATTTCTGTCCTTTATTGAGCCCATTTTTGCATGAAATGTTCCCTTGGTATCTCTAATTTTCTTGAAGAGATCTCTAGTCTTTCCCATTCTGTTGTTTTCCTCTATTTCTTTGCCTTGATTGCTGAGAAAGGCTTTCTTATCTCTCCTGGCTATTCTTTGGAACTCTGCATTCAAATGGGAATATCTTTCCTTTTCTCCTTTGCTTTGCGCTTCTCTTCTTTTCGCAGCTATTTGTAAGGCCTCCTCAGACAACCATTTTGTCTTTTTGCATTTCTTTTCCATGGGGATGGAAAATTGAACCTCAAAATTTACTCTCGGCCCTTTACAGAAATTTTCTGAGGCCTGTTGTAGCCTCTCCCTTCTCTGTCAGTGAGGAGTCTGGGTCTCAGCAACCACAATATATCCAATTATTTGCTGATACCTAGAGGACACACAAAAAGCTTCAGAATCGCTAACCTATACTACTGTGAAAACGCACCTTCCAGCTAGAGTGTCTGTGTACCTTTCCTGTCTTTACCTTTAGAGGAGAGCAGCACATGTTATTTTTCAGTGGCTACATTCCTTCTCCCATTCATTATGTTACTAACTTGTAATACTGATGAGCACATTTGTTTTGGTTTGTAGTCCACTTGGAGGTCTCTCCTGTCTGTTTATTTACATGATTTTTGTGTATGTGAATCACAGACATTACTAAAAGTCAGAACATATAAAATCATTCAGAAATGTCCTTTCCCCTGCCCTCTGGCCTTGCTGTCTGTTTCCCACCCTCCCCTAAAGCTAACTAGTCTCATTATTTCCTGCTTTATCTTTTCTTTCCCACACATGAGCAAATATTTGTGTATTAAGAATATCAGTAACAGAGGATATATGTTTGTCTTTATTCAAGTTGACTTTCTAGCATACTGTGTATTCTGCAAGGCTAATAAGCTTGTATTACTTAGTAATAACTTCATATCCCTGACATTTATGGATACTTTGTCAGTGTCAAACACATGCATTATTTTATCTAATTCTTTTTAAAAAGTGGAGCTATTATTATGTATGTTTTATAGATGAGGAAACTGAGGCTTAGAGTTTACATAACTTGCTCAGGGTCACACAGTTAGTGATATAATGTAATTGTTCTCTTCGTGGCTTACTTGGTTACAAGGACAAAACCCCCTTCAGATTAGCCTATATTAAAAAGATAGCTTTAACTGTTTATAATAGCCAGAACATGGAGGCAACCTAGATATCCATTGACAGATGAATGGATAAAGAAGTTGTGTGTGTGTGTGTGTGTGTGTGTGTGTGTGTGTGTGTATACACACAATGAAATGTTGCTTAGCTATAAAAAGGAGCAAGTTTGAGTCAGGTCTAGTGAGGTGGAGGAACCTAGAGCCTATTATACAGAGTGAAGTTTAAGTCAGAAAGAGAAAAATATCATATATTAACACATACATATGGAATCTAGAAAAATGGTACTGATGACCCTATTTGCAGGGCAGCAATAGTGACACAGATGTAGGTAACAGACTTGTGGACACAGCAGGGAAGCAGGGGTCGGGAGGAATTGAGAGAGTAGCATTGAAACATACATTACCATATGTAAAATAGATAGGAATTTGCCGTATGATGTAGGGAGCTCTACCCAGTACTCTGTGACAACCTAGAGGGATAGGAGGTGGAAGGGAGGTTCAAGAGGGGAGGGGATATATGTATACCTATGGCTGATTCATGTTGATGTATGACAGAAATCTTTACATTATAAAGCAGTTATCCTCCAATTAAAAATATTAGCTTGGTGTAAAAGTAATTGCGGTTTTGCATTGTTAAACTTTGCCATTTGATATTGGAATATATTCTTAAATAACATGTGGTTCTGTTATCATTTTAATGTGTGTTTCTCGCTTTTTTTTTTTTGCTGATGACTTATTACTTGCTGCTAATTTTATATTCATTTTAGACTATAGAAATGATGTTAAACAAAAAGCAGATTTGAGCGATTTTTTTTTTAATTTGAGTTCAAAATGGGCTGTAAAACATTGAGACAACTTGAAACATCAATACATTTGGCCCAGGAATTGCTAATGAACATACAGTGCAGTGGTGGTTCTAGAAGTTTTGCAAAGGAGACAAGAGCCTTGAAGATGAGGCGCTTAGTGGCTGGCCATTAGAAGTTGACAGTGACCAGTTGAGAGCAATCGCTGAAGCTTATCCTGTTACAGCTACATGAGAAGTTGCCGAAGAACTCAACATCGACCTTCTATGGTCATTTGGCATTTGAAGGAAATTGGAAAGGTGAAAAAGCTTGTTAAGTGGGTACTGCATGAACTGACCGAAAATAAAAAAAATCGTTGTTTTGGAGTGTCGTCAGCTTTTATTCTACTCAACAACAACGCACCATTTCTTGATCAGATTGTGACATGCAGCAAAAAGTGGATTGTATATAACAGCTCGTACAGTGGTTGGACCGAGAAGTTCCAAGAAGGATAACTTACCAAAGCCAAACTTGCAGCAAAAAAAGGTCTTGGTCACTGTTGGTGCTTTGCTGCTGGAATGATACACTACAGCTTTCGGCAAAACCATTACATCTGAGAAGTATGCTCAGCAAATTGCTGAGATGCACTGAAAACGAGCGCCTGCAGCTGGCATTGGTCAACAGAACGGGCCGAATTCTCCACAATACCTGGCTGCACGTTGCACAATCAACCCTTCAAAAGTTGAATGAATTAGGCTACGAAGTTTTGCCTCATCCACCATATTCACCTGACCTCTCACCAACTAACTACCACTTCTTCAAGCATCTCAACAACTTTTTGCAGGGAAAGCACTTCCACATCAGTAGGAGGCAGAAAATGCTTTCCACGAGTTCGTCGAGTCTTGAAGCATGGATTTTTTTTTTTCTCATTGGAAAAACAATGTGTTGATTGTAATGGTTCCTATTTTGATTAATAAAGATGTGTTTGAGCCTAGTTACAGTGATTTAAAATTCACCGCCAGAAACTCCAATTACTTTTTCATCAATCTAATAAATTTTTTTAAAAGGTAGCTTTAGAGTCAGGACACAGGGATGGTATATGCAGAAGAGAATATTATCAGGATCAGGTGGCGTTTCTCTCCATTTGTTCATAACATCTGCCCCAGTCCTCCCCACCGCTACTTTGCCTGGCGTGTGGCTTCAGCCTGTCCTGTACTTCTCGTACCAGCCCCTTATCACACCTGTTGACCTCATGCCTAATGTTCAGACTCCCCTCGGGCTCTCCCTGAGTGGGCTCCTATAGTCAGTTGGCCTCCCCCTTGTTTTTCTTTGGCAGCTCTAGAGGGGGCTGTGCAATACATTGATTGTTTAAGATGAGATTTTTGAAGTCTTGGAGTGTGTGAGTGGGGGGAAGGATGGTATAAAAATTTATTAAAAAGAAAAATACAGAAATAACTATCATTCAGCTGTTATTGAGTCCAAGCTCACTCTGCTCACTGCATGACAGGCTAATGAATTGGAGACAAGGTGTTGAGGCAAAGATTAAGCACTCATTTATGTACCCTTGACACCCAGCTCTGTTTTTCTCACTCTGAATGTCTTCTGAATCTCAGACTTGAAAATCAAAATGCCTACTTGATGTGCAGTGGGTGTCTCTTATGCTCAATTCCTAAATCCCCATTTTCTTCTTTCATATTCTCTGCCTTAGGGAGAATCGCTTTCTAGGCATCTAGACTGGAAATCTAGGTATTACTATAGGCTCACTACAGACCTTCCAGACCCCACTCCTGGCATCTGATCTGTGGTCAAGACGTCCTGTTTCTCTAGTCTGAGCCCTCACCTCCAGCCCCAGTAACTGCAGCAGTGATCCGTGCTCTGTCATTTCTTACCTTCTCCCAGTTCTAGCTGACCATACTTAAACCTGTACCATAGATTTAACTGCTCTTTCTCTAAATGTATTGATGAAACCTCCAGCTCCAGTTCACATCCATTTGATTGGCGACTGTATAACTTGAACAAGTCACTTAGCTTCTCTGATTTAGGATTTTCATCTCTGAAGCAGGGGTGAGCAGTGGCAATAACCTTTCATGGGGAGTTACCGTGAATTTTAAATAACTTAGTGCAGACAGAGTGCTTAGGATAGAACCAGGCACTTGGGAATCCCCCCACATGTTAAACATCAGCTGTTTGTCATCAGTATTAGCAAAATGACTTCCAGAGCTATGTGTGTGGCTCTTCTGTATAAATCTTTGCATAATTTCTCATCATGTATGGAATAAAGTACAGATGTATCTGTAGGATAAATTTCTGGAGTTGGAGTTTTGATGAACATTGTCCAGTTGCTTTCCTGGGGATTTCTTTTTAATTATTCTGCAGCTGGGCTTCCCAGGTGGCCCTAGTGGGTAAAGAGCCTGCCTGTCAAGGCAGGAGACTGAAGAGACACAGATTTGATCCCTGGGTTGGAAAGATTCCCCTGGAGGTGCATGGCAACCCACTCCAGTATTCTTGCCTGGAGAATTCCATGGACATTGGAGCCTGGTGGGCTACAGTCCATGGGGTCACAAAGAATTGGACATGACTGCAGCGACTTAGCACACATGCATGCATACTGCAACTGGTGATAAGTGATGTATCTGTTTCTCCAGCATGCTGGCCTCGCTAGAATGTTGGTGTGATCAGATTGTATCATAGACTCCAAAGAATATGGGGAAATAATGGATTGAGATGAAACTTTGAAGTCAACGTTGGTTTTTTTTTTTTTTTTTTGGTCATAGTGTGTTGCTTTCAGGATCTTAGTTCCCCAATCAAGGGTCAAGCCCCAGTCAAGGGTCAAGCCTTCCGCAATGGAAGCATGGAGTCCTAACCAGGGAATTCCCTGAAGCCAGCTCTTTTGCCACTTTTTTTTTTTTTAAATGGAAGTATAGTTGATTTACAATATCATTAGTTTCAGGTTACAGCATAGTGATTCAGTAGTTTTACATATTGTACTCCATTAGAAGTTACTACAATATAATGGTTATAATTCCTCTGATGTAAACCTATCCTTATTGCTTGTCTATTTTATACATAGTAGTTTGCATCTCTTAAATCCCATACCAGATCTTGCCCTTCCCTTTCCTCTCCACCAGTAGCCACTAGTTCTCTTTATCTGTGAGTCTGTTTCTTTTTTGTTGTATTAACTAGTTTTATTTTTTAGATTCCTCGTACACATGACTACACATAGTATTTGTCTTTCTGTCTGACTTCTTTCACTAAGCATAATACCCTCTAAGCCCTTCCATGTTGTTGCAAATGGCAAAATTTCATTTTTTTGTAGCTTGGCTATTGTGAATAATGCTGCTATGAACTTTGGGGTGCTCATGTCTTTTCAGATTAGTGTATTTGTTTCCTTTGGGTGCATGTGTACAGATAGATAGATATATCCTAAAAGTGGAATTGCTGGATCATATGGTAGTTATGTTTTTAGTTTTTTGAGGAACCTCCATACTGTTTTTCCATAGTGGCTGTACCATTTTGCAGTCTCATCAACAGTGTGCAAGAGTTCCCTTTTCTCCACATCTTCTCCAGCCTTTGATATTTGTACACTTTCTGATGATAACTATTGTGACCAGTGTTAGGTGATATCTCATTGTGGTTTTGTCTTGAATTTCTCTAATAATTAGTGATATTGAGTACCTTTTATGTCCCTGTTGGCCATCTGTATGTCTTTGGAGAAATGTCTGTCTTCACAGGTCTTCAGGTCTTCACCTCTGTAGTTTAGTTTATTTCTAGGCATTTTATTCTTTTTGATGTGATTTTAAACAGGATTTGTTACTTTCTCTTTCTGGTTGTTCATTATTAATGTATAAAAAAGCAGCAGATTTCTGTACATGAATCTTATATCCTGCAACTTTGCTGAATTTGTTTAAGAGAAGACGTACTTAACAGCCATCAAATTGATTTTCGTTCTTTTGGGCCTAGGTGAAATGACAATGGATACCATCTTGGCGCGATTGAAGCTCCTAAATCCAGATGAGCTTAGAGAAGAGATTGTCAAAGCTGGATTGAAATGTGGACCCATTACATCAACAACAAGGTTCATTTTTGAGAAAAAATTGGCTCAGGCTTTGTTAGAGCATGGTACACTGCCTTCACACCTGCCCGACCTTGGTGCTGCAGATGCCCCGTCCCTGGGCCAGGACACACAAAGGATTGTGAAGTCTGCAGTAGGGAGCCCAGCTGAGCAGGTCAGCTTTTCTGAAGACAGAGACTTTGGTTATAGTGTGGGCTTGAATCCTCCAGAGGAAGACGTCATGACATCTAAGACCTGTTCAGCGCCCTTCAGTGCCTCGGGCGGCGTCAACAGCCAGAAAGCCGTGCTGAGAGCCTCCGCAGAGGCGCCTCTGTACTATGGGGTGTGCCCAGCCTTCGAGGACACCCCGGCAAGAAATGGTAATGTGACCAGTAGGGTGTCTGTTACACAGGTGGTTCATTTACATCAGGGGAGAGGGATTTTGAAAAATCACAAACTACAGAAGAGAAGATAGAAGACTTTAATCACCATACTCTCATTCCTCCAAACTAACCATTGTTCACATCTTTCTGTAGAATGCTCCTGAATTTTTTGTAAATCTATATAGGAATTTTTAGAAATTAAGGAAATTGGATTCTATGGAGATATAGTTCATTTATAAATATTTATGGACTGGCTCCATTTTTTGATTAATTATCTCCCTCACTTTTTTTTAATTCTCTGTAACCTGACCACCTTTTATATTAATGAATGCAAATGGCCAGTGAAGTTATAATTTTCAACATTAAAGAATTGTAATTTTAAATAAGACTAAAATAACATTGGAAAGAAGTAATGAAAGCTTGATCACAACGAAGTTACTTTTTGTAAAACAGTGTACATAATATATACTTTTTATATATGTGTGTGTAGTCTATAAAGATGAAATTTATTCCTCCCCAGCCAAATCTTACTGTTTTGTGTATCATTCCTGACCCTGCTTACTATGTTTTATTTGTGTATTTAAATTTTAATTACTTTTATATTTTTAATATATTTTAATTTACATTCAACATATATGTGTATGTATGTACATTATTTTTATTTTTATAAAATTGGTAAGAATGTCAGGTCAAAAGGTTTTTGGTATTTTTTTTCAGTATGCATTTTTAAAACTGAAAGCTACGGTCCTCCAAAAGATATCACTATTTGCTATGAATGAGTGACTTTAGCCTCTCTATAGTATGAATGTACATTTTTTCTATCTGAAAAGGGGAAACAAGTATCTTGTTTCTGTTCCATCAACCATACTTCATGTTATTAAACTTCCCTTTGGTCTTTTCAAATAAGGGAAACCTGTCGTATTTTTGTATCTAGCACCCTTTTTCTGTGTGTGTATCTCTATTTATTTATTTATGGTTGTGCCGGGTCTTTGATGCTACACTTGGGCTTCCTCTAGTTGCAGTACACGGGCTTCTCATTGCTGTGGCTTCTCTTGTTGGCGAGCACAGGCTCGAGGGCAAGGGCTCAGTAGTTGCCTTACCTCGAGGCGTGTGGAGATCTTCCCAAAGCAGGGATTGAACCCATGTCTTCTGCATTGGTAGGCAGGTTCTTAACCACTGGACCACCAGGGAAGTCCAATAGTCATAGATTTTTGACTTACTTTTAAAATTATTTAGATCATTGGTCCATAAATTTTATTTTTATATCCTTAGGTGTAAAAACTGCATATGTAGATATAAAATATTTATCATTTATATCCATGCATATTCTTATGATCAAACTTACTGTGTTCTTTTTGCTAACTGAAGCCCTTTTTTGTGAAGATTAAAAATCTGAAATATTAATGAGAGAAAAATCAGGCTACTGGGTCACAACTGTTAATTAACAAACCCAGGGCTTCAAGTGTGAATTAGGTGACAAGGGCTCCAGTTAATCGTCTCTGATTTTCCTTTGTCGCTTTTTCCATACAGAAAAGATTCACGTTTATGAAGATAAAAAGGAAGCCTTACAAGCTGTCAAGATGAACAAAGGATCCCGATTTAAAGCTTTTACAAACCGAGAAGATGCTGAGAAATTTGCCAGAGGAAGTTGTGATTATTTCCCTTCTCCAAGCAAAACCTCTTTACCACTTTCTCCTGTGAAAACGGCGCCACTCTTTAACAATGGTGGGTTAAAAGTCATTTATATAGCAGCTCATACCTGGCATTACTATCAGATGTACTCCTGGGTGTTTTACACCCTCTTTCTTGGTAACTGGTTTTCTCCGCCTTTGAGAGAAGTTCAGTGTGCTGGGAGTAGAGAACTGAGGCCCAGGCCACGGAGCAGCTGGAGGAGTATGGGTCAGCTGGTCTGGGTTGAGGCAACAGGATCTGAGTGGGCCAGGCAGCTCTTGGGCCCCAAAGCTGACAGGGCCGTGGGAGGAGCAGCGAAAGGGCCTCCATTGCCCTGTGTTCTGTCCCTCTTATGGCACTTTCTCTCCTGCAGCCTGTTGGGTTCTTGGCCTTTTTAGATGCTGAGACCTATCTACTTCCGCCCTGAAGCTACACCTTCTAAGACCCATGGTACTTGCTTGTACCTGTACTTGTGAAACCACTTTGTTGTGCATGTGCTCAGTCAGTCATGTCTGACTCTTTGTGACCCCATGGACTCCAGAGGACCACCAGGCTCCTCTGTCCATGGAATTTTTCAAGCAGAGATACTGGAGTGGGTTGCCATTTCCTTCTCCAGGGGATCTTCCCAACCGAGGGTCAGACCTGCATTCTCCTACATCTCCTGCGTTGGTAGGAGGATTCTTTACCTCTGCACCACCAGGGAAGCCCAAGTGGTACTTGCTTGGCCTCAGACAGTTCTCCAGTAGGTGAGCTTGCCTGCGGGAGCCGTCCAGCTGGAAACCTGGCCACTGCCACTCCCAGCTCAGGACCAGGGTCTTGTGAGGGGCCTTTGCTGTCAGCATCATACAAAACCCCAGTGGACTAGCCTCATTCTGGCCCCTCCGTGAGCTCACAGCAGCCCTGCTTCCCAGGCTGGCTGGGGTTCCTGAGGAAGCAAGCGGCTCTCCTTGCAGGCATTTGGCCTTGGATCAAGAGTGCAGTGTGCCTCCTCTTCTATCACTTCATGGAGGTGCTTCCTCCGTGAAAGCCAGGATGATTCGCAACACTTACAGGTTTCCCTGTTCACGTTTGGTGACAGTTCCTCAAATGGCTTTCACACACCCACAGGTGTTGTGATTCAGCCAGTAGACCTTCCTCTTGACTCACTGCCTTGCTGGGGATGCTCCTTGCTCTTGGAAGCTCCCATGCAGGAGTGGATCGTATCCCTGGCTGTGTGCCCATATCCCCCTGCTGAGCTTCACAGCCTGTCCTTCACTGCCCTGAGGCTGGGACATGCTGTCTGTCTGCTGCAAGTAGGTCATCAGCATCTATGGGAAAGATTTTTCTTACCCTCAGTGAAGCACATAGTGGATGATGAGAAAATGTTTGTGAAATTCAGTGTTCTTCAATTGTCTCTTCCTGACAGATGGGTTGTACTTGTCTGAGTCAGAAACAGCAAGCAAAGAGCGAGCAAACAGCTATAAAAATCCGCGCACACAAGACCTGACTGCCAAACTTCGGAAAGCTGTGGAGAAGGGAGACGAAGACACCTTTTCCGACCTCATTTGGAGTAATCCCCGGTATCTGATTGGTTCGGGGGACAACCCAACCATTGTACAGGTAAACCTACTTCTAGCATCATTGCATCATTATCATCAAGACTGCAGGTGATGAAAGCGAAGCTTAGAGTCTGCCGTTTTCTTTCAGGAAGGGTGTCGGTACAATGTCATGCATGTGGCTGCCAAAGAGAACCAGGCTGCTGTGTGCCAGCTCACCCTGGAGACGCTGGAGAACCCTGAGTTCATGCGGCTCATGTACCCGGATGACGAGCCGCACATGCTGGAGAAGCGCATCTGCTACGTGGTGGACCTGTACCTCAACACACCGGACAGAGTGGTATGCCTCGTAGCCATCCTGGTGTGGGAACAGTATTTGGGTGTTTATTTACTGCATCCTTGCGCTGCATCAGCTCAGAGGAGAGGCTTGAGCTTAGAAAGATGTGTTTTGAAACAGACCCGCTCACACTTGAGAAGAGCCCCCTGCTGGCCTGCATACCTCGGTCTCAGTTGGGGTGGAGCCGCCCCCAGGGCACTTCCCTCAGGCCTTTGTTCAGAGAGGCTTGAGCTGAAAGGAGGGGGAGTGAATGCCCCAAAGCTAAAGGGAGAAGTAAAAAGATTTTGGTGCCTTACAGTCTAGTGTCCTATGTATGTCTGTTTTTTCCATTTAACATTATGTGAAGAATATTTCCTGTAGGGTTAAAATGTTCAGTGGGGTGATTTTTTTTTGTTCTTAAATATTTTATTCAGGTATTTTTGGCTATGTTGGATCTTCATTGCTGCTCAGGCTTTTTTCTCTAGTTGTGGAGAGCAGGGTATCCTCTCTAGTTGTAGTGCACAATCTTCTCATTGCAGTGGCTTCTCGTTGCAGAGTGCAGGCTCTAGGTGTGCGTGCTTCTAGTTGCAGCATGCAGCCTCAGTAGTTGCAGCTCACAGGCCCAAGAGCGTGGGTTCAGTCGTTGTGGTGCACAGGCTTAGTTGCCCTGCGGCACGTGGGCTCCTCCCCACCCAGGGACTAAACCTGATTCTCCTGCATTGGTGGGCAGATTGTTCACCACTGACCCACCAGGGAGCCCCCCAGTGGGGTGATTTTTAATGGTGCATAAGGCTTAAGTAAGGAGTCTTGAAACAGAAGAGTTTTACATATTTATATAAGGGAGAACCCAATGATGGCTGAGAGCCAAGGGCTGTAAATTCTGAGCAAAACCTGGGAGTTTGAGAAGTCGTGGTTGGCAGGAGAGGAAATAAAGAAAGCCTAGTGGATTATTTTGTAACATATTGAATATGATACACTGAACTGCAGAACTGGAAGCAAAAATAACTTTTCTCACAAGAGAGAAAAGGACAAAGAAAAATTTTGGCCATGCTGGCAAAATTAAAGAGGAGCATAAAAGAGAAAACAGTGGTTACATGAAAGCAGTAGTAAGTGTGGAATAGGACAGACAGAACAAAATCATAGTATCTTAGACTAAGAGTGAACAAACTGAATCAGGGTGTGTGACAGTGCAGTTGGGAAATGTGACTTATTGATGCGATACAGGTCCGTGTGTCCCGGCGGAAGTATAATGCAGTGTTTTTCATGCCTGTGTAGCGTTCATTGAAAACTTGCCTGTGTGTCCACAGAGACCCCTGGATAAGTTCTTGAAATTAGGTGTTACAGATCCCATTCTTTGACCACAAAGCACTGAGAGTAGGAATTGCTTAAAGTGTTGACCTCCAAGCCCAGGGACTCAGCAGAGGGTATAGTGTGAAGGAAAGGCTGGATCAGCCAGGAGTGGCTAGAGGACCCAGAGCCCCCCAGCTGTGTGGAAATGAAGGTAGCTGGCAGGTGTGAGGGGCGTGCCTGGGGTCAAGCTGCTAAAGCTCAGAGCAGGTTAGGGAAGGATGCATGTGCTTGAGGAAGAGGGGTAGCCAGAAGGAAGGGGAGTGTGGAGGGCACTTTGCACTCTGATATCTTGAACACTGAGTGGACACAGCTGGCCCTGATGTGCAGCAGCCCCGGCCCCCGGGGCCTGGCTGGGAGCTGTGCTGATGCTGCAGCCTTGGCCACAGGGCTGGAGGCGGCTCGGGTAGATGGTGGACCAGGGAGGGCCTGGTTGGGAGAAGGCAGTCAAGCCAGGGCTTTCCCATTCAGTCAGTATAGCTTTACTGGAGTCCAGCTCAGATCCTTCTGTGTGTCTACAGCTGCGGTCAGTGGGGCGGGTGTGTGTGGCGGAGACTAGTCTTCGGAGCCTGGCTGTTTACTGTGTGGGAAAGCCACGGGCCGTGTCAGCAGCTCCTGGAGACAGTGAGATGACCTTTGAAGGTGCAGAGCGGGGAGGGGGCAGGGGTGGAGCTGCCCTGAGGGTATTTGCTTGCACAGGGGTCTGGGGTCACCTTGGAGAAGGGGGACTGGAACTGGGGGTGTGGGTGCGGGTAGCAGGGCCCTTGGGACTCTAGATAGCTGGGAGAGAAGCTCTGAGCACAAAGCATGGCATGTAGAGGGAGGAACCCGAGGGCTGGAACGTGTGGTGGTTGCAAGTGGACCTGAGCAGATTCTGTTTTGGCCGAACTGCCTCCTAGTCTGCGGCCATCCAAATGAACGTGCCGGGGGTGGTAGCTCCACAGCTCAGGGGCCTGCTGGTCTGCAGGGAGACTGGGGAGGGATTGAATTGAAAAACCTGTGAAGTCAGAAGGGAAGTTTCATTTACTGCAATACTAGCCATTGGAGAGCGTTCTGAGTATAGACCAAATCATGGACTTTGCTCAATTCTAAATCTTGTTTTTATCTGTTTGTTATACCTTATGAGCATTGATTTTAAGACATTGTATTGGGCCCTGAATTGTTAAAGCTGCTGTTTGCTGACGAGGTGTTACACCCTAGCTCTGTTGTAAGCTCCCCCCAGCCACGCAGGAACGGAGCGTTATGCTGGGCTAACGCCCTGGCATAGAGTGGGTGTATGCTAGTGTGCCAATTACTTTTCAGCTATAAAGACACTGCCTTTTTATAGTCTTTTATTTTTAAGGGTTTTGTTTGTTTTACTACTTATTTTTAGTAACTTGAAGGAACTTTATGAACCAAAAAAGTGTATAGAAGTGTTCTTCTTTTGCATCTCTCCCAGGGCTATGACACACCGTTGCATTTTGCTTGTAAGTTTGGAAACGTAGATGTGGTCAATGTGCTTTCTTCACACCCTTTGATTGTAAAAAACCCAAGGAATAAATATGATAAAACACCTGAAGACGTAAGTACCTATTAAAATCTTATTACATAGTTTTAGAAATGAAAATATATAAAATTACAAGGTCTACAACCACAGCTACTGTGAAGACACAAGTAACTGTGTGCATGTGTTTACCTTATGGCACCATAACCTTGATTGTCAAGTAAGATGTACTCTGAAGAAGATGCTTCTATAGAGCCCCAGGAGGGAGTGAACTGCCCTAGTTTGCAGATTTTATTTTCCTGAAATGGATGGTCAAGCTGTCCTCATGGGTCACTGTGTTTTGACAAGTTCCCTCTGCATCCTTCAGCTCACCAGGGTCAGAGAACATAGGAGGTGGTGCTTGTGCTGCTGATGGTGGTGGTCATGGATGATGGAGATGGTGAGGCTGGAGTCAGTTATGATGGTGGTGGTGGTGGTGGTGGTGGTGGTAATGTGATACGATGGTGAGGATAATGGAGGTAGTGATGATGGTGGTGATGATGTGATGATGAAGATGATGCTGCTCGTGTGTTCAGCCCAGTGTGCACCAGGAGCTGTCCTGTGCCTCTTCTATATTCTCACCTGGCCTGCACAAGCCTTAGGAACAGGCCTTGTCAGGATGTATGTCAGCAGTTGAGCAAAACATACTTTAGAGAAGGCAACAGTGTCTCTGTGCAGTGAGGTAGAGAGGAAAGTGGACCTGAAAGAACTGGAAGATGAGGTAATTTGTAACATGCATGGGAGCTGTTGGCTGGCTTGGACCTGCCAACCCTGTGGAAATAGAATTTGTAAGATCCTGTTCTGGCAGTGTCACCTCCTTTTCATTTGCTGTGATTATGTAAGTTGCACCCACTTCTCTAGCTAGTTTATAATTCACATAAAAAGAATAAAATTTACCAGCCAATTCTGCAGCTCAGAAATTACCATTATTTTGGATAAATCTGACTCAACTTTCTGTGTGCATGTGTGTGTGTTTTCTCAATATAAGATGGTGACACATTTTTGCTTGACTTTTTATTTTGTATCATGCTGATAGCCTTGATAGTTTCAGGTGAACTGGCTGAGGGACTCAGCCATTCATACACATGTATCCATTCTCCAAACTCACCTCCCATCTAGGCTGCCACATAGTATGAGCAGAGTTCCATGTGCTATACAGTAGGTGGTGACAGGTCTTTAAAGCATTGGACATCTCTTACAATCAGTTACAGAATTTAAAAGGAAATGTTGCACTACTTGAAGGGTTCACTGTGCAGTGGTAGTTTGTTTTTCTCACAGGCTGGCAGGAGATGGTAATTTTATGGTTCCTTCCTTTTTATTTCAAGGTTATTGGTTTTTTATTGTTTGTAGCTAAAATGTTCATAATTCTCTAATGTCTGAGAACATTGATTCCTGTAGTCGCAAAAATGAAATATTTGTGTAACCTTGTTCAATAGAAGTTGTAGTTCAGTCCAGCCAAACCATAGACACAGGCTCCCAGGCAGTGAAGTGTGTAGCCCTGAGGTGTGGACATGTCTGCTCTGACCTGATGGTTCACCTTAAGGTTTCCTTTCCTTGCAGAGAATTAGGAAATGTAGACAGCCTGAAGAAAGAAGGTAAAATTTAGCTGTAATCTCAGAGTTTGTTCTCCTTGTCCTGGCCCCTTGGAGCTTTTACAAAACATTGAAGAAGGAAGATTGCACTGTTAAACATTTTTTATTGTGGGCTTTATGAAATACTCAGGTGTTAGGATCTATCTATTCTTGTTCTCTTGACTTTAATTGCTTCTGCAATATCATTTTCATGATAAGAAAATAGGATACATTTGATTCAGAGTGTTCACTTTTTATTTTTTTTTGAATAGGTTATTTGTGAAAGAAGCAAAAACAAATCTGTGGAACTGAAGGAGCGGATTCGAGACTACTTAAAGGGTAAGGAGGGGAGTGGGCGCCCAGAGTGAGGAGGCCCTCCATGGTGAAGGCCCTGGCAGTGTCTAGGCTGCCTTGTGTGTGGGAGTGAAGCCAGGGGGCTGTTGGGAACCCCTCAGAATTACCCTGAGTTCCACCTCCCTTTTCTGGGAGACCAAGTTGTCTGTCACTTGACTGTTGCTTGCAGCCTCACCCCTTGACCTCTGCAGCCTCTTGTGCAGCAGGTGCCTCCGGCCCCTCTTCTTCGGCCACAGCCTGCAGGGCAGCCAGAAGGCAGGAGAGGCCTGCCTGGATCCCCTATGTCAGTCTGGTGGCTCCCTGTCCTCCACCGCCCTCTGCCCAGGCTGTCCCCGTCTCTGCTTCTGTGACCTCCCAGCCCTGGATCACCACTCTCCAGGCCAAGGGCTTCTCAGACCATGGCCTGTGGGCCAGTCCTTCCTGCTTGGTTTCCGGGGGCCTCCAGCCTCTGGTCCAGAGCTCCCAGGCTGTGTCCCAGCCAGCCTGTATGCTTCAGGGCATCTGGCGGTGGAAAGCCCCCCTTCCTACCCGCTTTCTCCTCTGTGTTCTTTCCAGGGGGTTTGAGCAGTTGGCAGCAGCTCGCTCAGTGGCCTTGCTGCAGACGCTGGAAGCTCTTTGCCTCCCCTGTATGCTCGTCTTTATCTGCTTCTCTCTGGTTTCCATTCCTGCCCAGATCCCTGGTGGTTTCTTTAGAGCAGCGCTCGGTGAGGCTGGTGGTGTGGCGTCTCGCGGGCCCCGGCGGCCGCCACATCGCGCGCGTGGTGTCCTTGCTGCTTTCCTGCCACACTGTCCCTGTGGCTTCAGCCTGTGTCCTTCCCAGGTTCTGTACCAAAGTGTGTCATTCCAGGTCTGTTTGGAGATGTGTGTTCAGTGATAACAAGATTGTAATATATGAAACAGGATAGGAGTTGGGGGAGGACGGAGGTTGAAATGCATCTTCTCTGTAAGGTTTCTCCAGCTCCTCTTCAGCCGCTCTGGTTCACAGGTCCCACCTCTCAGTCCTTCTATGAACCTGGGAACGAGCATGTGTTTGCTGCTCCCCTTTCCTTTTTTCTCCTCCTCCTTATTTCTCTGCAGAGGAAGAGCGTGGGGCTCATTAGGTACAGGAGTCTGGCGCAGACCGACCTCTCTTCAGGTGCTCTGGCTCCAGAGCTTTCTCAGCCTTTTTACTGTTAGCATCTTTGACTGGCATGCAGAGCCTGTGGGGTAATAACCCAGCTGACTGTCAGGCTGATGCCCAGGGCCTAACGGCCACTGTGGTGCAGGCTCCACACACATCACTTAGCCCCATGTGTTTTCTCCTCCCAGGTCACTACTATGTGCCCCTCCTGAGGGCAGAGGACACGTCTTCTCCTGTGATCGGGGAGCTGTGGTCTTCAGACCAGACCGGCGAGGTCTCTCACATTGGCCACACTGGATGCTTCCCCAAAGACCCTGTTCTAACCCTTCGAGCCTTCGCAGGGCCCCTGAGTCCATCCAAGGTGAGCGTCTGTGGAAGGTTCTGGAACAACTCTTGGCTGTCCCCACCAGGAGTGCTGGGTTTTTCCAGCCTTTTGCTTTGTGCTTGGTCCTGGAGACCAGATCTCATGAAACTCCAATGAGTTGTCAGTGAGGCTTCAGAACTTTCCTGGAGGAACAAGAATGTCTTGACCCTATTATTGTTAGCAGGGTAGGTATGTGACAAGCGGTGCTCCCAAGAAATGAGGTTTACTGGGCTTACTCTCCCCATGCTGGCATTACCTGTGCCCCCCCATCCGTGCCCATGGACCTTGCACAGCGTATGCCCATTCCATTGTCCTTGGATTTGCGCTGTCAGTAGGAAACTTCCACTTGCAGACTCTAAAGTTCACCTTCCAGACAGAGGTACTTGATATACTGACCTGTATGCACCCTTTCCTCTTGGTAAAAGAAAGCTGTAGTTAGTTACCTTAAACTATAAAATGTTAGGAATAGATTTAGCTGCGTGAAACATAAAAAGCACACACACTTATTGGGCAGCAGGTCTGTAGGGTCTTCCTCAAAGCCTCCTGGTTCACTTCTGACCCTGAACCCAGCCCAGACCTTGCCAGGGTCCCTCCTGGCCTCTGCTGTGATGCAGCTGAGGTTCCTTAGCTACAGGGCAGGGGGCACGTTGCCTGCACTGTGTTTGGGGTTGGGGAGGGGGCACCGCCTGGCGACGTGGGTGCACAGCACACATCTCAGCACACTTTCTGTTCTAGGCAGAAGATTTTCGCCGACTCTGGAAAACCCCGCCTCGAGAGAAAGCCGGCTTCTTCCACAGTGTCAGGAAATCTGATCCAGAAAGAGGCATTGAGAGAGTGGGAAGGTACTTAGAGGGCACAGAGGGACAAGGGCCGAGTGGTGGGGTCTTGTGTGCTGTGTGCTGGTGTGCTGACTGGGACTTTCATATCAGTAATTCCCAGAAGTGTTTACTGCTAGACTTTAAAGCCTTTTTACTAAGGTCTAATTTGCAGAGGTGTACACTGCAGCCTGTGCAGCAGGCTGAAAACAATCCCTCCTGGCAGTCAGGTGGGGTGTCCCAGGGGCGTGAGGGGGTGTGGGGAAAGGAGCCACACGAGGAAGGAGAAAATAAAATACCAGAGGAGGACATGGCCAGGAACTGCTATGAAAGACGTCCCTGAAAAGTGTTTTCCACAATCAAGAAGCTAATTTACAGCATATCAAATAATGCTTAACTGGATGGTTTTAGAACTTTTTCTCAAAATATGTGCCCAGCTTTAAGTTCACAACTTGAAAAGGACCTCTAAACATTTATGTCTGGCCCAAACCAGAATTGTCTTCAACTTAGTACCGTTGTTTTATGAAAACCAAAATGTTCTTTGTTAGTGGAGTTTAACAGTTTGCCCTTTTTCATCTCTTGTGAGTGTTGGTGTGAGTGGAACGGTTTGTTTGTAAGTGGTACCTTTCTCACCTGTGACCTTGACTCATTCTGTAGCACAGTCTTACCCTGTGAGGGGGGCGCTGCTTTAGGAAATTAAGCGTTCTCTTTCAGCCCCAAATTTAGGATAAAATGAAACCAAGGTTACAGGTGCAGTTTGTGTACTTCCAGCATAAAGTGGCTCTTTTCTGTGTAGTAGGTTCTGTGAGTTTTTCTTCTGCTCTCAAAGCTGGTTAATTTGCTTTGTTCTTACAGGGAGCTGGCTCATGAACTGGGGTATCCCTGGGTCGAATACTGGGACTTTCTGGGCTGTTTTGTTGATCTGTCTTCCCAGGCAGGCCTGCAAAAGCTAGAAGAATACCTTACTCAGCAGGAAGTAGGCAAAAAACACCTGCAAGACATGGGAGAAAATGCAGCATGTCGCCAGGAGGACGCTTCAGCCCTAGGTAAGGATACGCAGTGCGTCCAGGGCTGGTGAGACTGGCAGCCCGTCCTGTGGCCAGGTCTGTGGGAACCTGTGGCTTCTCATTTTCCTGCCCATGAGGGGGGACAGCTTGGCCTGGAGCCTGTAATTCTGTCTGCAAGGTCCTGCTTGACTTTTTCCAAGGTTTTCTGTCTTAAACAATGAGGAGGAGGCTTTGAATATGGGAGTGACTTGTCACAGGGTTTGTACTATGTGCAGTGACATCCTGAAGTCCCCTCGTCAACACCTCTGAGAGCTGCTTTCTCTCCCTCACAGGCCGTCACAGGAAGTGCAGCAATTCCATCTCTGTGAGGGCGTTTCTAGATGAAGATGATGACATGAGCTTGGAAGAGATAAAAAACCGGCAAAATACAGCTCGAAACAACACCCCGCTCAGGGCAGCTGCTTTTGGAGACTTGGGGTGTGACATCCTCCCCTTGGAGCAGACAGAACTTATCGAAGCCTCAGCCCCAGCCAGTCCCCACAGCAGCAGAAATGGGTTTTGCAGCCCCCTGAGGGATGGCAAGACCCTGGGTGGGAAGAGGCCCAAGGCCCAGAGTGGGGGGGAAGACTTCCTGTCACCAGTCTCCGGCTTGACTGTTGAGTTTGATAAATTGAATTTGCAGAATCTAGAAAGTAGCTTTTCTAAGACACCAAATCAAAGAGTGAAAACTAGAGATAAGAAGATCCTGACGTCAAGAGTGAATGCAGGAGGAAGTGACGTGTTAGAACCTCTTACTGCTGATAGACTTGGAAATAACCAGGGAAGGACAGAAAATGAGATGTCTGCTGGAATTGCTAACATGTGCCTGAATCCGGACAGTTCCATGCACGAGCCCCGCTATGGCAATGGCTCGGAGCCCTCGGAGGTTCTCACCTCGAAGGACTCTGTCCAGAGGCTCTTCCTTTCTGGGTATGAGTGGGGAAGCATGCATGTGTGTTGGGGGGTGGTGGACACAGGTGCCAGTATGATTCTCGGACACTTCCCTCCACCCCGCCCAGCCTGACAGGCACTTGTTCCATCTGTCTCACAAGTTGGTGGCTTTCTATCCATCCTCATTGGTCCTCCAAGCCAGTGGGAGACAGCATTTTCCTTCCTGGCTCCTCCTTGTGTCCACTGTATTTCCCACCGTGACTGAGCTGTCCTATGAGTTTTAGGAAGAAAGGCCATCTTGGGGTCAGACTCAGTTGTCCAGCTGATGGCCTGTTCCCCCTTCTGCTCTGTCTTCCTGGAGGTGGTAATACGCAGAGTGTGTCTTGCCAGCAGGGCTGGGGCCGGGGTCTCCTCCCTGTGGGCAGCATGTTCCCTCTGCCATCCCCACCTTCACCCTCACCCCCGACCTGGATTGTAGCCTGCAGATAGTGCCTGTGGTGGTGGTAATGGACAGTGGTAAATTCAGTGGTGCTGAATTTCTGGGTGTAATCATGGAGGTTTCTGCTCCTTCTCGTGCCTTCTAGAGAAGAGCCATCAAAACTGGATCGGGATGTTCTGGCAGCCCTGGAGTGCACGGACGTGGACCCTCGCCAGTACCCAGCCATACACAGGTGGAGGAGCGCTGTCCTTTGCTACTCACCTTCGGACAGACAGAGGTACCCACAGGCCCAGGGGGCAGAGTCACTAGATTCGTGGGGAAGTTCACACAATCAGATCTGTTAGCCAAGCTGGTGGGGAGTCCCCTGATGTGTGGCCGGGGGTGACAAATTGGAAGGATGCTGCTGACAAGTGGGTATGGGATAGAACTAGCCCAGGTTCCTGCTCAGGGTCACATGCCACTCTTGTGGAGAATGGTAGTGAGCTCCCACGGCTCCCAGGCTTCCAGCACCTCTGCAGGTGTTCTCTCGGGGGCAGGGGCCCAGATCCTGTCTGTGGCCTCCACTCGCTCCATCCCATCCAGCCGTCCATGCTGACTGCCCGTTCTTGGTTTCCTCAGCTGGTCCAGCCCCTCGCTGAAAGGGAAGTTGAAGTCTCAGCTCCTGGACGTCAGTGGCCCTCCTAGCGGCAGCCCTGGGAGAAGCAGCCCCGCAGGCGGCAGCCCTGGGAAGCCTGGCTCCACACCTCACGTCTCTGGCCTGGGCAGCCCCGGGCGCTACAGTCCCGCCAACGGGGGCCACCTCCGCCGGATGGCACGCCTGGCCCAGCTTGCCACCTTGTAGGGCCCATGCACACTGCTGGGGTTCTTGGTTTGTTCTTCGTTGTTTTGTTTGTTTGTTTTTTAAGAAAAGTAATGTGTTTATTGCTGAAATTTCACATGCCAAAATAATATTCTGATTAATTTATCAGTCTTTATTTAGAGAGTAAAAGAATTTTAGAAATTGCAAATATTCTGTATAAAATTTAGCTTTCTGTTACTTGGAGAGAAGGTGAACGCAAACTCATGGAGATTTTTTGAAAACCCTCCGTGTGGTTACAGACAGGCTCTGTTAGCCTCCCCAGGTGCACACTAACGGAAGAGGGCGCCGGAGAGGCCGGGGTGCCCCACAGGCGGCAGCCCCCCTCCTCCCTTGACAGTGCTGCGCTCCCTTTTGCTCTTTTCCTGAAACACAGGTGAAAGTTTGTGCCTCTGCCTTTTCTGGGGAGGGTCTTTGACTTTCTAGTTCATGACAGAAAATCCTCTCTGCTTTGCCGGTCAACCGTTGATTAGATGCTGACAGGTGGACATCCGGGAGTAAAGGAGGCTTGCGTGTGTCGGACACTTGCAGCGACACTTACAGTTGGGAGTCACTGAAGATATTTAAGTGAGTGACCAGACGATGAAAGTAGCTTTTTTCTAGAGGAAAAATGGTAGCTGCTGGGAGTCATGTGAATAGTCTTACACAGGACTCACTCACCAGTGGTCCTTGGAGGGTATGTCCTTTCTCACCAGCACTTGGCCTTTCACAGTGCACCTTATGTAGCTGCAAGTGCAGTGTAATAAAGTAACCTGAATGTTGTTCCCTGGTTTTGAGGTGTACCCCGTATTTTAGAATGCATTTCAGTTGGACTTGCTTTATGAAAGAGCATCACATTTTAGTAGAGACAAAAGGTTTGCTTTGGAGGAAATATCTGATCCCAATTCTGTCCTTTCAGTGTGGTTGGTCTTCCCTCCCCCTGGGCCGTACCTGCTGGAGGGTTTGCGCACACAGAACTCTGCATTCCGGAGGGCTGGGACATTGCAGCCTCGCTGAGGGCTGTTTCTCCCGTGTTAGCAGTGGCCACTCACGGCAGGGTTCTGGGGGCATCGCCAGTGTTTGATCAAAAGTGAAAACTGCCAATGCGTCTGCTGTCCAGTGCCTTTTGTAAACCACTTTTGATTCTCCTCTGCTTACTCTTTGAGACTGTACAGTGATAGGAGGTAGACATAAGTGAGATTCTTTTTTATTTGTAAAGATTCTGAATTGAAACTTATGTTAAAAAAAAAAAAAGCTTATTTCTTTCACACAATAACAAGAGACAGGTCAGGAATATCGGGACCTGAGATTAAGGTTTTAAAATTCAAAAGGGTGTTCTCACTTGTGTAGCAGATGATGTAGACATAAGAGAAAAATACATTCTGTTCTACAAACCAAATGGTGTTTTTAAAAGACATCTCTATTCTCAAAGAAATCAGAACACAGATGTAGTTCATAGTGATGATCTGTTTCCGCTAAAATTTGACCATGCCGTCCTGTATATTGTTACAAATATTCAGATGGAAATTAAAGTAGGGATGTGCCCTAACTTTACAGACTGCTGTTCCTGTTTTCTCAAGTTTAGACTTTTGATTATTTCTCCATTTGTTTATGTAAGTTGGCCCTGGTTCCACTGAATGCATTATCATGTGTCCCGTGGTGATTTTACATCTTTTTAAAACTACTTAATGGAATAAATTATTTTTAAAACCATGTGGTAATCATTCTAAGCTTTCAGAAAGACCTCTCTCAACTGTGCCCAGGAAAAATGCCCTTTTTAGCAAACTCTTAAGCAGTGTTTGGGTTAAACAGAACATCAATCTGAGAGCAGTTTATTTGCTGTCTGGGGTCCTTTCATTCCTAACACAGTTGTGAAAAGCCTTGGCATCAGTTAAACTAGCAAATATTTCCTAAGTGTCCTATGAAACAGGGAGCCTTTTTCTGTGATGTTGACAATCAGTATGTAACGTCTTCGGTTGAAAAGAGGTGATGGGAACCCCATTATGGTGGGTGGTGGCTGTGCCGGGGGCTTCAGAGGTTTTCCCTGCTCTGGGGGAGAGCAGGCGCCACGTGTGGCAACCAGATCTTCTGGTGTAGTTTTTGGATGTTTCCAGAAGCGTTCACAGCTCAGAGGGGATGGTTGTAGGGTGATTGTCTTGTTGGGTACAGTTACCAGTCACTGGGCACATCGCTATCCCATCCCCAAGCCAGGTGTGCTCAGGCAGTTGGAGGCTTGTGTTTCTCATTGTGTGTGGAGACCCGCAGGCAGCTCTGGGTCACACGTGTCCTCAGGTTCCTTCCTCAACTGTCTCAAGATATTCTGGAACAAACAGCAGTGCAGCCAGTGGGAACCGCCTTCATTCCCGCTGCAGTCAGTTCAGGATCCGTCCTGATGCATAGGCTCTCAGGGTGGGTTTTTTATCGGTCACAGTTGGGAGGTCTTTCCTGATGTTTCATAAGTTCTTGGTCATATGTCCCACCTCAGGGTGGTTTCCTGGGCCCTTGTAAGTGACCCCATCCAAACACCTTTGTCCCGCTCCTGAGCTCACTTCCTGTTTCTGAAACGTTGCCCTGCTCCTCCGCGGTGAAGTACAAAGGGTGGACATGCCACTGAAGACATGTCTGCAGACAGGACAGTATGTGACCATACGAACCCAGGGAGACAGGGAGGACCTACCTGCAACTGCTGAGGGTCCAGGTGCCCAGGGCTCGACTACGGGACCTCACAGCACCCGAGGCCAGACACCTGGTGCTGCCTGACGCTTTTCTGGTCTTAGACGTTGGCACAGCCCCTGGCTAACTTGTCAAAACTATTTCTACAGAATGGTGCATGGTTGTTGCTTTTAGAAAACCACTTGAGCTCACTGTCCTGGGGCAGGGCCTCTCACTGAGGCCCCTGTTGGGCAGATGCCCTGCGAAACTTCAGCCCAGGGTACACCAGATCCTGGGGAAAGGGCTTTCTGCCTCAGCAGAAAGCTGAGCAGAAAAAGCCCTTTCTTAGCTAGTTGGGGCTGCTGTTTGTCATGCACAGGCTGCTTGTTTTAAAACATTCACAATTAGTACTTTGAAAAACCAGTAAAATAAAATTTTATTTTGTAGTTATTTCCAAAATTGACAGAAACATCAAATACTCCAATTAGTTGCACTGATTACAGAAAATGTTCATAACCACTCAATAAAAATTATACTTTCTCCTAAAATAACAGAAATTTGGGATGGACACACTAAATATTTTAATCCATAAGCATAAAGGATTAACAGCCAGAGGCAAACAAGGACTGAACTGTCAGTTGGACGTTTTACTGAAACAGGCCGCTCCTGGGGCATTCATCACTGCCTCTCTGGTGAGGCCAGCAGCTCAAGTCACCTCCCTCACTGGCCAAGGTGCTCCTCCTGTGTGTCCAGAAAGGCCTCATGACACAAAAGTTCAGATCCCACAGCATCAGGGAGGTGTGACTTTGGAGTGAGAAACTGGTTTTCAAAGCAAGAACCAGATGAGAAAAATCTTTATGTAAGTGACAAGTTTTAGGAAACGAATGTACAAAGCAGAATAAGTTACAAACAGATGAAGTGCTGCGCCCTCCTCCTCTTCCTCCTGCCTGACGGGCTCTGCTGGCCGACAGCCTGCTGCGGTGTCTGCCTGGTCCCTTCAGTCATGGCATCTGGGGGGCCTCATCCAGTCCCTCAAACAGGCCTGCCTGGACCCCTCAGGCTCGTCCTGGATGAGAGGGAGGCAGACACACTGCAAAAGAGATGAGGCTGGTCTGATCTGAGTGCTTCCCTTTTTCATCCTGGACCTTGAGTTAAGAACACTGTGTTGTAGATCCTTTTGCTTTCCTGCCACCTAGAGGTGGCCGTCCCCACTGCGCAGCCTGTGGGGGGGACACGGGGGAACCTGCGGTCTTGGCGGCACGCACACCAGGCCGGCGACGGGCTGAGGAGGACGGAGGGCCTCAAAGTGGCCCTCAGGAACGGGAGATCTTGTCAGGAGGCATGAACCCTGTGTCCCCGAGGGCCCTGAGAGCCACTCGGCCATCAGGCCGGACCACCAGGTGGGTAATGCTGCCGTTGTTGAGGGAAAGGCGGAGCCAGCCTTCTGGAGGGAACTGCAGTGCCCTGAGGAGAAGAGAGAATGTGCTGGAAACAGGCCAGGTGGGCCAGGTCTCGACAGAGCTGAGGGTCCCCCGACCCCAGATGAGAAGCCCCTGGGCAGACTTCCAGGGGCCAGGTCCAGCATCTCTTAAGTCCCTCCTGCTTTCAGATGGGGTTTCTCAGAGGAAGGAGCTGCTGGGCAGATGTCAACCCAACAGTCCAACAAGGGGTCAGGGAGAATCCAGTCCCTCTGGGATGGGGATCAAGCGTGCTAGAGGCCTGCAGGTGAGTCACACTGGTTAACAAATGCATGCAACTTAATCTGCTTTCCCAGTGTAACCAGAAGGGGGCAGAGGGCAGCCAGATGGTGCAGCAGGTGCAAGCACGACCCCTGGAGCATTTTCATGCTCTTAAAAGTGCTTTTCAGGCACAGTTTGTATTTGCTGAAGAGCACAGCATGACTACGGCCTCTGTCCATGTCACCAGACACTCTTCCTGCCCTAGAACTTTGGGGTCGACAAGCGGCAGCCCCGTGGCTTGTCTCACCACCACTCTGTCAAGAGTTTTGCTGACTTGAAGGAGTAACTACGTACACACTGCTTTTTAACGTCTCAATGTCACACTCACCACTTTCAAAAACTGTCCTAAGTTGGGGGCAGGTTGTCCTCCCATTTCCTGGGGCAGAGGCCCTGGCTCCCAGCAGCCCTGTCTTTAGCATAAGTACCACTGCTTCAAGCCTGGTCATTTCTGGCCCGTTTTCAGCACTGGGTTTGCCTCCCAGTGATGCTGGGTCAGTGCTGTCCTGGGATATGGAAGGATGTGTGTTTACACAGCCCAGAAGTCAAAGCCCAGGCGGCTGGCTTCTTGGTGTTAAAGGCAACACACAGACTCAAGCTACAAGCCTGCAGCCTAGCCCTTCCTCCCAGCAGCACTCGACCTGGCCTGGACCATGCTCCCCTGGCATGGCGCTTCTTGCCTGGAGCCGTGTGTGATGTCTGGACAAGTGGGCCCATGTGAGAAGGGGGATCCCCTCAGCTCCTGAAGCACCTGCCAAACAGCTTCTAATGGATCTGGGGGATGCAGGGTTACAGTTATTTAACATCTGGCTCTATGTGGGATTTGATAAAATACATGAGCACCCTGCTGGCCTTTCCAGGTCCAGGCCCTCTGACTAAGGATGTGGCTCAGGGCAGGCATCACTGCGAAGGCCTGGAACTCGGTGGGGCCAGGACACAGGGAAGTGGTTGGCTGGCTCCAATGACACAGGAGCCCCTGGAGAAGCTCCTGACTTCTTGCAATGGATCAGCTGAAGCAGGGAAATGACTAACACGCTCACAGGTTATAACCTTGCACAAGCAGGTCCATGAGTCCATAATTGAAAAAAATTCCAGTTAATAAGCTAAGGGAAATAAGAAACTATGAGGCAAACATTGAGTAACCACAGTGGCATGATCCAGCGACAGGTGCTAAACCAGTCACTGCATGTCAGGGAAATGGGGTGTTGGCATATAAACTATGACTTCACAGCAGCTGGCACATAGCACCTGAACCAAGCAACCACAAAATCGCCCAGGAAAGACTGCCGAAGGAGGACACTTGGTCTGGTCTGTTCCCACCAAAAACACACAGTCATGAGAAAACTGGACTGAAAGCCACTCTACCAGACCACCAGGTGGACCTGGAGGAAACTCTGGAGGCACAAGTGGACAGGAGGGGGAGCAGGGCCAAGGGCACCCAGCAGGACCCCTCACCGGCACACGATGTAGCGGATGACATTGGCATGGCAGATGAAGATCTCATAGCTGTCCTCCTGCTGCTTGGCGTCTGCCCGGTGGATGTAGTTCCGGAAAGCGGCCTCGATCCGTGCTCCATCTTCATAATACTGCTAGGGGCAGAAGAAGGAATCATGCATATGGAGGCAGCATAAGTCATGCTGCCACCAGGAGCCCAAGGGCAGAGTGGAGGTTGCTCCCCATAGGAGGCTGTCCTGGGAGGATTTTTTTTACCACAGCCTCTGGCTTCCAGTGAGACACAGGGGGGTCGGGCTCGATGGGGGCGCCTTCCCTCAGCAGGTCTGTGCTGACCTTGCAGACGCCTGTAGAAAAGCACAGGACTCAGTCCCTTTAGGAGTAGCCACCCCTCCCTCCCTGCTGCTGGGCACCTGTGGTGCCTGGCACTCACCTGGCAGGTGTTTACTGATGATGTCAGTGGTTTCTACCGCACGGGTCATGGAGGAATGGACGATTTTATTGAACTTCAACCCCAAGCTTGCAAGTCGCAGACCAGTTAGTTCAGCCTGCTCACGACCTTGAAGGTGGAATACACTGGAGAATTACAGGTGGTGGGAGACCCTGCTTGTTTCTACTTCACAAATACTTCAGTCCTTACCAAGCACCATTAGGGCTGGGAGACAAGATGGGCAGCCCCTCCTGGGTCTCAGGCCTAAGGAGGAGGTCAGGCTTTCAACAGGTAAAGTCAGTGAGACAGACCAGCCACCTTCAGCCCCATACAGAAAAAGCATCAAAAACAATGGCCATAAGGACTTCCCTGGGGGTACAGTGGATAAGAATCCACCTGCCAATGCAGGGGACATGGGTTTGATCCCTAGTCCAGGAAGCTCCCACATGCTGCAAAGCAACTAAGTCTGTGCACCACAACTACTGAGCCCATGCTCCTCAACAAGAGAAGTCACTGCAGTGAGAAGCCTGTGTACCGTAATGAAGAACAGCCCCCGCTCACCACTAGAGAAAAGCCCACACACAGCAACAAAGACCCAGAGCATCCATACAGAAATTAATCTTAAAAAAAAACAACACCCAGCCATGGTTGAGGGTGGCTGAAGTTTGGGTGGAGTCCTCTTTACTATATCTGGGTCCGTTACACTATTCTTACTCAACTTTATCCAAAGATTGGATCTTAATGCTCCAGTGACCAGCCATGCAATCACTACAGATGTCTACATGTAAGGATGGACAACCAGCACTGCTGAGGTCTGGGTGCAAATACAAATGCTTTTCCTCTAATGTATCTTAGAATCCAGTTGAAACGCCCTTGGAGAGTCAGTTTTAGCTGGACATGTGACACCACAGATGCGGCTTTACTTCTATCTGAGCCTGAGGACAGGCCACCAGCCCCTTCACACAAAAGGGTACCATCTCACTTAACAAAAATATTTGAAGAAATGTAAACTCCACCTCCAAACACCCTGTGTTTCCTGTCTGAGGGAATTCTCCTGTGGATACAGGCACACAAAGGCCAAAGTGAGAGGATGTGCCCAGCAGCACCATTCACAGCAGCAAGAAACTGCCACAGATGCCAGCATTGGGCAGGGCCCTGAGACACGCCACTGTTTATAAGGCAGGCACTGAAGCTCTTCAGCAACTAAGTCAAGCCATGGGGCACCAGGCGGAGCCACTGCAGAGCACCTGCAGGCAGAATCCATGGTAATATTCTTAAAGTTGAGGGGCCTCCCTGGTGGTTCAGTGGCAGTCTGCCTGCCAATGCAGGAGACACGGCTTCAATCCCTGATCCAGGAAGACCCCACATACTGTGGAAGAACTAAGCCCATGTGCCACAAGTACTGAGCCTGTGCTCTAGAACCCGGAGAACCGCAACTACTGAGCTCACATGCCAGTACTACTGAAACCCACATGACCTAGAGCCCTTGTTCCACAAGAGAAGGCATGCAAAGAGAAGGCCGCACACCACAACTACAGAGCAGCCCCCACTCACCACAACTAGAGACAAGCCTTCACAGCAACAAAGACCCAGCACAGCCAAAAATGATAAATTTCTAAAAACTTATTTAAAAAAAAGGTTGAGGACACTTGCAAAGTCTGTCTTGAGTCAGATTAAGCTGATTATTACTATTAATAACAAAGCTCACATCTGGGCCAAGAACACTTGACACAGGTCCAAGGAGGCCTGCCTCGCGGATCAGCACAGCCCAGCCACATACCCAGGGGCGTCAGTGTGCGGTCCTTCTCCAGGGAGGCGTCCACGTGGTACTGGGAGTGCCTGATGAGGAAGATGTGCCGTGTGGCCTTGGCCTTGCAGTGGTCCAGCCTGGATGTCAGCTCCTCTTCTCCAGGCTCTAGGTTCCTCTTCCGCAGGTTGACCAAGGACAGTGGTTCTCTCCTGACGTTGAAACACAAGACGGTGCGCTCTGTGCCCCTGCTCACAAGTCACCCCTAGTCTTTCTGACAGAGGGGCTTCCTGTGTTGGGAGGTGTAGGGGAGAAGCCAACGTCCTCTGTTCTCGGTGCTAGGCCTGCCCCGGGCGGCTGGATGGTAGACAGATAAATAAGCAAAGCCTCTGTGCTGTTCATGTCCTTGTGAGGAGACAGTCACAGCAAGGGGACCAGTGATGCAGAGAAGAGGAAGGAGTAACCAGTAACCAGTAACCTGTGGGAGGGCAGGTGGGAAATGCCCACAGGGCGGCCTCGCTGACAGGGATGCTGTGCTGCCCCTTAGTAGCCACTGATCGTATGGCTACTTACACTCAAAACATAAAAATTAAGTACAATTAAAACTCCCATTTCCTCAATCACACAAAGCACATTTTCAAAGCTCAGCAGCAAGTGGGACAGTGGCCATCACACCAGACAGGGAGAAGAATGTCCCCATTATCCCGGGAACCCCCCTGGTTGGCCCTGCCGGGTGCTGGGAAAGGGCTGATTGGGGGGCGGGGGGAGGGGCCTGGGAGGGCGCAGCAGTAGCAAAGATGCTGAAAAACGATGTCTGGTGAAGACAGGCTCTGTTAGCTCATGGACCGGAAGTCAGTAGAAGTTAAATGCCTGTGAGACTGGCAGAGCTGGGAAAGAATGTACTCTGCTGAGACAGTGCTGGAAGAATAAGTTTTGAGGGAAGTCACGGTGAATTCAAGGGTTCTGGTTGGGCCATATGAACCTGGGGTACCCATACACAACCAGGCTTAGATGCCACACTGGCAGTCATGGGGGGGCTGGGGCTTAGCCAGAGAAGACCTCTGGTACCGCAGGCACAGATGCAAGCTTGGCTCCTCAGAAAGAGGCTGGAAATTTCATTGAATGAGGCTCTTTCTAGCATGGATACCACTCTCCTTACTCCCTCATAAATATAGACTTGGCGAGCAAATATAGCATGTCAGCTTCAAAGAAAGCTGAAGTCTGGCTCTCCAAGTAAGTCCTTTAATCTCAGAGTGACTGTTTCCTTGGAAAGGCACAAGAAATTAAGAAGATTGTACTGATGTTTAAAAGAGAATATGGCCCCAGCCTAATCATCAGAAAAACAGACAAATCCCAACTGAAGGACATTCTACAAAATACCTGATCACCACTCTTCAGAACTGTCAAGGTCATCACAAGTTAAGTCTGAGAAACTGTCAAAGCCTGATTGTCATATGGCATCCTGGGAGAGGCAATGGACTACAAGTAAAAACTAAGGAAATCTCAATAAAGTATGGACATCAGTTAATAATATTGTACCTACACTGGTTCACTAACTGTAACAAATACTCTATGTAAGAGTGAGGTGTTAACAACAGAGGAAGTTAGGTGTGGAACTCTAACATAATAGAAACTCTATTGTCTTTGCAATTTTTCTGTAAATAGAAGACTATTTTAAAATAAATTTATCTTTAAAAGTTAAAGGTTAAAAAGAATGCCTCTGAAGTTCCCTATACAAGGAGGCTAACAATAAACATTAGTTCTGTGCCCCACACTCAAAGTGTTAAGGAGGAAAGAGCTGGGACTGGGTAAACCATCCCACAACCCAGAGCGGTGCCATCCAATAGAAATAGAACACCGGCAACGTATGTTATTTAAAATTTCCAAGTAGCCACATTTACAAAGTAGGAAGAAACAGGGGAAATTCCAGTAACTCACTTTATTCACTCCAGCATATCAAAAATACTATCGTTTCAATACAAAATTGTAAGATCTGCACTGCTTTGGTTTTTAAATTTAAGTTAACATTAAGTAAGGCTAAAAATTGCTTCAGCATTTCCAAGCGCTTGGTAGAATGCTGACAGCGCGCGGCCGGGGGGCCTGGGACCCCTGGGCCTCAAGCTCCTACTCAGTCTGTCAGCTGGCCCTGGCCCTGCGTGGCCTCCGCGAAGAGGCCCCTTCCAGAACCCACCTCCACCTGGCCCTCTCGGCAGTATCCCAAATATGGGATTAGCATGCCGTCACCCAATCTGAATATTCATAAGTTGAGAGACAGAAACAGGGACAAGAGCCCTATTAAGGTCCAACTCCTCCGTTCAGGACTGAAAACGACCACTCCGGGCATCCCGGTACCCCTTCCTCAAAACGACCCCCTGGGCAGACAAGGAAACTGGTGCTCAGCAGAGGGGTCGAGCGACGCCTCACGTCCACAGCCAGCCTCGCGGCCAGAACCGAAAGAGAAACTAGCAAGCAAACCTGCCCCGCCTGCCCCTCCGTGGGACCCACCACACCGACCAGACGGGACGGCTAGGGCCCGGGAAGGGCTACCGCCGCTGGCCCCGCACCTGTCCCAGTTGGGGTCCCAGACGCCGGGCCCGGGGCGCGCGGCCCCCGCCCACGCCGGGGGCTCGACCACGCGCGGTTCCGCGTCCCCGCCCGCGCGGGGCTTCCCCACCGCCACTGCCGAGAAGAGCACCGCGGCCGAGCCCCCGGCCAGGCCGCAGGCCGCCAGCTGTAGCGCCTGCCGGAACGCCATGCCGGTCAAGTCCCGCGTCGACCCCACGCGGGCTCCGCGCAGGCGCACTCGGATGTGGACGGCGGGCGACGAGGGACACGCTCCATCGGGCGTATGCTTCCGGCCGACGGGCTGCGCGTGAGCCACCGCAATCGTCTTGTCCGCCGCGGTGGCTTCCGGGGATAAAGGCGGAGCCGGGTGGTAGGCGGTCGGTCTGAGACCTTTGGTCGGCCCGGTGCCGTAGGCCTGCTGTGCGAGTCGTTTCTGCCGTTGAGCGAGGCCTCAGACGGCGCCCGACCCGTACCCGAGTACTTGCACCTGCACCTGCGGAAAGAGCCCAGGGGGAACCCTCGGATAACTTGAGGTTCTGGTTCAGATGAACTAGGAAACTCCAGCAGGGTTTGCTGGTTGCTTTGTTTTTACGGGGGCAAAATACACGTGCTGCAGAATTTACCACCGTAACCACTTTTAGGTGTACAGTTCAGGGATATTAAGCACGTTCTCTCTGTTGTGCGAGCAGCATCCATCTCCAGAACTTCCTCAGCGTCCCAACTAAAATTCTGTGCCTGTTAAAACACTAAACTCCTCACCCGCTTCCCTCAGCCCTTGACATCCGCCATCCTGCTTCTTGTCCCAGTTCGACTGCTCCAGGAATCCCAAAGAAATAGAGTCAAACAGTATTTGTCCTTTGGAGCTGAATTATGTCACTTAACAATGTCCTCAGGGTTCATCCGAGTCTTCTGTCAGAATGTCCTTCCTTTTAAAGGGTGAATAATATTCCATTGTATTGACGGACAACATTTTCTCTCTTCATTCATCAATGGACATTTGGGTTGTTTCCCCATTTTAGCTATTGAGAATGCTGCTGTGAACATGGTATGCAAACGTCTCTTCAAGTCCCTGCTTTTTGTTCTCCTGGGGTATACAACTAAGGGGAACTGCGGGGTCATCTTGGCAGACTTAAATGGGGAAGTGATATGGTCTGATTTACATTTTAAAGTCACTCTGGATTTTGAAGAATGAATGTATTCCACAGAAATACCCAGACCTCTGCATAAACATGGTGTCTTAAACCCATATATTTATATCTGCTTCCAGAAGGTCACTTATTAAAAAGGATAGCAAAAAAAAAATTTTTTTTTAAAAGGACAAATTCAAAAAGATGTACTTGAAACAGAAGAAACCAAGCAAAGAGATCAGCTGACAAAATGTTGAAAGCTGGAAATCAGGTTGTTATTGATCTGAGAAGATGGAATATCAATTGCCTTCATTGAGGGAAACCAAGAAGCAAGCTCATCCAGTCCTGTGAGTCTGGAAGAGCCAGATGAGTTACAGGTACTAGCCCCAACAAAACTGGGTTCCTGCTTGGCCAGCCCACTGCCAAGGACGGTGTCACAACTGCAGCCCGTGTACACAAATCTTCTGAAGAATGTCTGAGTGGCTTTGACTCTTTTAACAGTGATACACAGCCGAGTATCTACAGACATTTCAGGAAATCCTGATAGGGTAAAACAAAGATCAAATCAACCCTGAATATTCACTGGAATGACTGGATAGAGCCGACTCACTGAAAAAGACCCTGATGCTGGGAAAGACTGAAGGCAAAAGGAGAAGGAGGGACAGAGGATGAGATGGTTGGATGGCATCACTGACTCGATGGACATAAATTAGAGCAAACTCTGGAAGATATTAAGGACGGGGGAGCCTGGCATATTGCAGTTCATGGGGTCGCAGAGTTGGACATGAATTAGTGACTGAACGACAACAACAAAGATCAAATAGAAAAAGAAAAAAAAAGAACCCTGTGAAAACAGAAAACAGCACACAAGACAGAAGAAAATTTTAAAATATATACAATTGAGATCCCAAGGGATATTGTATCCATGAAATAAGGATGGGAGACTATCAGGAAGGAATGTTCTAAGAATGAAAAAGCAGGGAAGGAGGGCCAATGTAAATGAGCAATAGGAGAGTAGACCCAGTGGAAAGGGTGGTATACAGGGCCTTTCAGAAGGTCAGGGAAAGTCTTGGTCTAAGGGGCCCTTGCCCTATGGGGCCAAGCAGCTAAACAGTTGTATTGTGATATATTTTACCACAAATTTTTAAACATTTAAAAAATTCCAAGAGCAGTCCTCTGGTCACTCATTTCTATCAAAACAACAGCAATTATTCTGAGAAATTAAAATCACCGCTGAAAATGCTACATTATAGTTTATTGTGATCCTAATTCAATCCAAGGTGACAGGTGAAATCATCTCTGCTATATTTATGTTTCTAGGGCAGCACCACTTGAGGACAGCGATTGCCTTTTTAAAACACGATTCTGACATTAGAAGATTTCTGTTCCTCTATCCGTCATGTTTGAGTCATCTTGAATCTCATGATCTAGAGCCAGGCTGGCTTATTTCTGTTCTGTCACCCCACCCCAGCCATCAGTGTGTCTGACACCCTTTCCGGGTTATCTTCACTTCCCCAGAGAGGCCAGGTAGGCGTACCAGAACAGGGCCACCAAGTTTGCAAAAAGCACCCGGAACTGCCAGAGAGAACAGATGGTAAGGTAAGAAGTAAGAGGAAGGCCCTGGGCACACTCATCAAGCACGAGGCCCCCAGGACAGCGCTCACCCACTGGTCAGCCCATCCACCCACTGCTGGATTTACTGAGTCTTTACTTTGCATGAGGCACTGTGCTTGGGCTCCCGCAGAGAGGAGTGAGGAGGACAGTCCCCCTGCCCGATGACATTAACCGGACAGTAGGGAAAACACTCCTTCACTGGTCACTTCAGCTCCTGGTAGGCCTCTCTCACCCCAGGACCAGACATCATGCGGGTAGCTTCACTTGGCTCTTCCCTGACAACTCCATGACCAGTTCACTCAGACCCATCCTGTTGCCACTATCTGCTTCAATGATCCGACAGACGTACTCCCACCTAAAATCACCTTTAGTCAATTACTGAGTCTCCCCTGCACATGAGCTCCAAGAAAGTAGCAGTTTGGCCTATCTCACTAATTGCTAGCCCAGAGTCTACAGCCACAGGGCATACAGCAGGTGCTCAATATATATGTGTTGAATAAAATCCCTGCCCCTTAAGCACTCACCTGCAACCACCTTTTAGGGAGCTCTCTGACCCCACGCTTGCAGTACTGCCCCTAAGCTACTCAGAAGGATTCTATTTTCTAGCCTCTCTACTCTCATCCACAGGCCCCTTCACATCCTCAGCCGTTCTGTTTCCTCATGTCTTTATTTCATTCTCTATATGCCTTAGAACCTATGGTCCATGTCCTCAGTTTTCTTCCCTTCCTGTTCCTCAGTTGTACTCTCATGAAAAACCCCAATCCTCCCTGCTTCTCACCTGTCCCACGCCCCTGCACAAAAGGGTCTTTAGCCTCTCTTGCCTCCTCCATCTCCAATCAGCTTCCTCTCCTATCTTTCACAATACCAAGCTGACCACAACTTTATTCCCCTCAAAATACCCATCAGCCTCCCCTGACCTACCCACCTCTCTCCCAGTGGAAACACAAGGTGTGGCCAGGAGTCCCCAGTAAAAGTGACCTCCTCTCTCCTCTGCTCAACAGGAAGAAATGTCTCTCTGCTTATGTGCCATTCCCACCCCCAACCCTCTCACTGGGGCAGCCTGGGGTGCCACGTGCATGTCACATGGCCACTCTTCTAGCTGCCAAACCTTCTCCTTCCCTGGACCACTGCTAACTACTGTTTTCCCCCTGTGCGTCACAAACTTGTAGTTTTCACAAACTTGTAGTTAAACTTTGTAGTTTATCTTCTACTTCTCCACCCACTCAGTCCACAACAATCTGGCTTCAGCCCCACGGAGCCACTGAGATTGCTCTTGGAAAGGTCATTTTTAAAGCTAATGGAGACTTACCGATTTTTATTTTGCTTTAACTTCCAACAACATTAGCTACTGCTGTCCATCACTGCCTCTGGTTTTCTGCTATCCTTGGTGTGTGTAGTGTGTGATTACTAAGCCCACCTTCTCCCTCCTCCCACCCTTTCAAGGTAGCTCTTCCCCAAGGGGGCTCTTTCCCCGGGTCTCTTTCCTCTATCTAAAGCAGGGTGGAAACCAGCTTTTATGAGCTAATTTCAGGTATATTACTTAAATAGTGTGCAGAAAAACAGTAACACAGCAGGCTGAGGCCTGGGAATTTCTGGAAAGGCCTGTTTGAGAGGTTGGTGTCTGGGAACTTAGATGTGGGTTCCCACCTTTCTCCAACTGATGAGAATGGCTCCCTGGGCCTAGAGTGCCTACAAAATCAGTGTGGCTGAGGCTGAGTGCCTGCTCTCCTCCCCAGGGTCTGGAACTCTGGTGCAGGGAGCAGTGTCCATGTGCCAGCCCCAAGTAAAACCCTGGGCAGAAATATTGCTGTGGCTGACTCTGTGGGTAAATGAGTCAGCCCTCAGGGCAGGGAGCATGGGGCGCCTGCAACGGCTTCCCAGGACCCAGCTGTACATCCCTTCTGCGTGACCCTAATAAATCTAAGCCGTGAGCCTGTCCACCTGGCAGTGGTCTTGGGACCCAGTCACAGATGAGCTATACTGGGTGTGAAGACAGTGGACAATGGCAGGGCCTTCAACCAACCGGAGGGTGGCCCCTCAGCTGCCTGCCTAGGGCCAGCGGTCAGCGGCCAGTGAACTGGTTCACGCCCAGACGCTCTGCCCCTTACCACTCAGAGCCCGTCCCTGCCTCACTCAGGTTTGGCTCTGACGTCCCTGCGGGTGAAGCTGCCTTGGGTTGCAATCCGTGAAGCCCTGGAGGTGGGGGGTGGGGGTGGGCATCCAACCCTAGAAACCTGAGCACAGCCTGGGATGAAGGGGCACAGTGTGGACCCAGCTTGGGCCTCCCTGTGTCGCTTTGCCTCCTCAAATCCAGTAATGGTAACAACTCGGGGCAGAGAGAAAAGCCTCAGGAGGAATCCGGAACCTGGGATGACCCCAAGGCTCAGGAGGAAGGCTGGGCTCTAGGGGAGCTTGAAGGCCCCTGTGGCTCCACGCCACACCTGGCTGGCCTCACCTGCACAGGGATATAGTTGATGTTAATAAACTGCACGGGTGTCCAGACTCTCCAGTTCATCCGCAGTGCCGGCCAGAACCCACTCTTCATCTTGGCAGTGAAAGCGGCGGTGTCCTGCCCCTGCAAAGGGGGGGAAACACAGACAGTGAGCAATACTGGTCTTCCAGGCAAAGAACCCCAAAGCCTAACTCAATGATTTCTTTGAAACTGCATGTTTTATTCCATTTATTTGGACATAGCACATGCGTGTGCTTGATCATTGATACAGCCGGATGAACTAACAATCCGGTAGGAAGATCATCGGAACAGTGCTCTCATTGTGTGTGACCTTTGCCGGCGACCCCTGAGAGCTAAGCTGATGATGGTGTGATTCACATTGCTAACCTGGGCACCAGAATTACAGCTGCTGATGGCTCAGCTGTCAGTTCTTTCCAAAATAACCTCCAAAGCTGATGCATTTCATATCAAAACTTGTCAGGAGTTCTTTTAAAAAAATAGACACCAATAAATGATTGTAAATGTCACCTGGAAGGATAGATGTATAAGAATACCCATCTTGAAAAAGAGTAAGAAAGGAAGGCTTGCTTTACTAGAGATTTTTAAAATTCTGTACAGTTAGGGCAATTAAAAAGTCTGGTGGTGGCAGTAGTGGTTTTGTCGTTAAGTTGCGTTGAGACTCCATGGACTGTAGCCCACCAGGCTTCTCTGTCCATGGGATTTCCCAGGCAAGAATACTGGAATGGGTTGCCATTTCCTTCTCCAGAGGATCTTCCCCACCCAGGGACTGAATCCACATCTCCTGGATTGGCAGGTGGATTCTTTATCACTGAGCCACCCAGGAAGTCCATAGACCAAAGTATAAAAACAAACACATAATACTACAGGAAAGCATAAGAGAATATTTCTATCATCTTTGGGCATATCAGAATGTACAAAATAAAATCATAAGAGTAGAAGAAGAAAATATAGGGAAATATTTCCAGTATCTTCCTTTAAAGAAGCCTATGAAGGAAAAGACTGGAAGATTTGAATACATGACTTTCTAAGCTTTTGTATGGAGAACGACACTATAAGATACTTTATATAACTTACACAAACATTTTTATGAAGTTAAACACCTAAAAATGGGGAAAATATCCGTAACTTTTATTTGGCAAAGGATGGATATCCTTAACATGTACAAACATACAAATAAGTAAGAAAAAAATGCAAACATTCTAAGAAAAAATGAGCAGAGTTAGTGGAAGAAATACAGATAAGCAAATAAAAAGATACCCAACCTCGTAAAGGTACAGAAAATATTTTCCACCTGACTTCCCTGGTTGGGCAGTGGTTAAGAATCTGCCTCCCAGTGCAGGGGACACACTTTTGGTCCCTGGTCGGGGAAGCTCCCACACGCTGCACAGCATGTCTGGCACGTGTCTGAGAACCAGAGTCTGAGTCTGGCACGACTACTACTGAGCCCACATTCTAGAGCCCGAGAGCTGCAACTACTGACCCTGTGTGCCTAGAGCTTGAGATCCACAACAAGAGTTTAGAGGTCTCTGGGGTCATAAAACTTTTGTCTGAATCCTGACTCAATGACTCAGTTACAGCACCTTAGGCCAGTGTTTACCCCTAAATAACTGAAGGCCTCAGCTTCCTCAGCTGTCAAGTGGACTGATGTTAGGCTCAAAGATCTGAAGCACTGGATGCCGAACTCAGTGCTCAATAGCTGTGAGTTGATGCTATGACACTAGTAAAGTGATGCTTCAAATTCTCCAAGCCAGGCGTCAGCAATACGTGAACCGTGAACTTCCAGATGTTCAAGCTGGTTTTAGAAAAGGCAGAGGAACAAGAGATCAAATTGCCAACATCTGCTGGATCATCGAAAAAGCAAGAGAGTTCCAGAAAAACATCTATTTCTGCTTTATATGCCAAAGCCTTTGACTGTGTGGATCACAATAAACTGTGGAAAATTCTGAAAGAGATGGGAATACCAGACCACCCGACCTGCCTCTTAAGAAACCTGTATGCAGGTCAGGAAGCAACAGTTAGAACTGGACATGGAACAACAGACTGGTTCCAAATAGGAAAAGGAGTATGTCAAGGCTGTTTATTGTCACCCTGCTTAATTAACTTAAAAGCAGAGTACATCATGAGAAACGCTGGGCTGGATGAAGCACAGGCTGGAATCAAGATTGCTGGGAGAAATATCAATAACCTCAGACATGCAGATGACACCACCCTTATGGCAGAAAGTGAAGAAGAACTAAAGAGCCTCTTGATGAAAGTGAAGAGGAGAGTGAAAAAGTTGGCTTAAAGCTCAACATTCAGAAAACTAAGATCATGGCATCCAGTCCCATCACTTCATGGCAAATAGATGGGGAAACAGTGGAAACAGTGGCTGACTTTATTTTTCTGGGCTCCAAAATCACTGCAGATGGTGACTGCAGCCATGAAATTAAAAGACACTTACACCTTGGAAGGAAAGTTATAACCAACCTAGACAGCATATTAAAAAGCAGAGACATTACTCTGTCAACAAAGGTCCGTCTGTCTAGTCAAGGTTTTGGTTTTTCCAGTGGTCATGTCTGGATGTGAGAGTTGGACTATAAAGAAAGCTGAGCGCTGAAGAATTGATGCTTTTGAACTGTGTTGTTGGAAAAGACTCTTGAGAATCTCTTGGACTGCAAGGAGATCCAACCAGTCCATCCTAAAGGAGATCAGTCCTGGGTGTTCACTGGAAGGACTGATGTTGAAGCTGAAACTCCAATCCTTTGGCCACCTGATGCAAAGTGCTGACTCACTTGAAAAGACCCTGATGCTGGGAAAAATTGAGGGCAGAAGGAGAAGGGGACGATAGAGGATGAGATGGTTGGATGGCATCACTGACTCAATGGACATGGGTTTGGGTGGACTCCAGGAGTTGGTGATGGACACAGAGGCCTGGCGTGCTGCGGTTCATGGGGTCGCAAAGAGTCGGACATGACTGAGTGACTGAACTGAACTGATGCTATCATTCTGCACCACTGTAGGGAGGACAGACAAGGACAGCCTTTTTGGATAACAATTCTAGGAACTGACTAAGCAGGAATCCCTATACAACAGGGACAGGCATATGGTTTGTAACACGATGTCTGGATCACAGAATGCCGGATGTGGAAGCAGCTTGTAGTGTGTGTGCCGTATGGAGAGTGTGGTCCCACATGTGTCATTATGTGGTGAGAACTTTATGCGCCTTGGTAACACTTGCCTTATCCATGCAGGGTATTTGTTTTTTTTTTTTTTTTTTCACGAATTTGCGTGTCATCCTTGCGCAGGGGCCATGCTAATCTTCTCTGTATCGTTCCAATTTTAGTATATGTGCTGCTGAAGCGAGCACAGGGTATTTGTTTTTTAATGAAAATATACTCATTTCCTATTTGGAAGGAAAAAATAGGGAGAAACTGCTCTGGTACCCTCAATCCTAACATAGGCACCCTTTCACTTTCTCCCATCTGATTTCCTAAGGACTTCCCAAATATTTCTTTTTACTGTCAGGGACTTATTAGGAATCACAGGGAAGTTTAAACATCTTTCCTACCTCCCACCAGGGTCACTTTAGACAGCAATGGGTGTTCTCCTTACTAACAAGAACTTGAGATGTGGTTTCAAAATAAAATCCAAGTGAGAAGTGTTTACTTGCTGTGATTGGCTGAAATAAATCATTTCCAGGGCAGAACGTGACACATCTCAGCACACAGAGGATGGAAAGGAGATGGTGAGGGTGGTAGGTAGTGGGAATGAGGTTGGGTGAACACACCTCTCAAGTTTTCCATTGCAACGTTAAGTCTATACTGATAACTTAACCTCTTCACAGCACTTGTGATGTCCAGACTCCAAGTGAGCACAGGGTTCTGCAAGGTCCATGGACCCCTCTGGTGTCTGGTGAAGCCCATGCACCCACCTCCCAGAATCATGTTTTGAAATGTATAAAATAAAATATGTGGGAGTACAAAGAAGTCAATTATACTGAAGTACGGGAGTTGGTGATAGACAGGGAGGCCTGGCATGTTGCAGCCCATGGGATCACAAAGAGTCGGACACAACTGAGCGACTGAACTGAATTGAACTGAACAGCTATCGAAACATACAGAAAACATTCTTATAAACCAGTATATGTGCTTCTTCACTAACACATTCAGTGATAAGACCTGCCAAAAGGTGTAAGGAGTGATGAGCATAAACAATACTCCGGGATAACTATGACAATGGACGTGGACAGCCTACTACCTAGGACACTTACATCGGGCCAACAGGTGCTGCTAATATGACTGTGCTTTGCTTCTGATATTTCATAGATAACAATGTGAAACTTCAACTTGAGTGAAAAGTTCAGAGACCCTCTGAATTCCACCAAAGCATCCTTATGCCAACGAACAGCTGGCGTGCACGAGTGCTAGAGACCAACCTCCAGGAAGTTCATGACAAGGAAGAACAATGACAGGAAGGCGGGTGCGAAGAGAAGGCGGTCCAGGAGAAGCCTCTTGATGCCTGCCAAGGGGACCTCGGAAGGGATCCAGCGCTCCATCAAGAGGTAGAAGAAGTGACTCAGCGGCCCTGTAAAAAAAAACCTGAGGCCCGCGGTGGGAGTGAGTTGGACACACCCTTCACCTTCAAACCCCAGATCCTAAAACCTGCCTCCCTGGAGTCCCTCAGCACTGACCACAGAGGTCTGTGTGGCCCTTCTAAAAAACATGCTTTCAATGCATCTGCTCCAGGCATTCATTTTTGCCTCTGACAGACCAGGCGTGTTCCTGCTTTGCAGACCCTTGTCATCACATGGCTGGCTCCTTCTCAACACTGTTGGCTCGGAGAGCTCCTTCCAATTGTCCTAAATAACGAACCTACCACTGTCCCAGCCACTCTATTCCAGGCCCTGTCCATTTTCTTCAAAGCATTTATCACTGGATGTCATGGTCTCATTTGTTTATACAGTGCCCTCTCTTCACCCTTAGAAGGTAAATGCCACAAGATAGGATCGTGTCTGTCTGTTCACTGCTCTGTCTGGAACAGGGCCTGGCTCAGAGAAGGTGCTCGGTAAATAAACAGAAGCATGCTGGGTGTCAGAGCTTTTTATCAAACTCTCTCCGATCATTATCAGGGCTGAGATCTGGTGCTGTGCGCTGGCTTGTCTGTATTATTTTTAATTCCAAACAGCACAGTGTACTCAGGAAGAAAACTGAACTCTGCCACCACGTCTACTGGGTCAACAGATCTGAGACTCCATGAAATCCAGAATCTAAAGATGAGCAGGGGCCCAGGGCCCTTCCAGCTCCACAGTGCCAAGCCTTTAAACAAGTGGTTTTCCCTCGTCTTTCTCCACCCTTTCACAGAATGTTAACTGGCCCAGAGCAGGGCTTCTCAGGAGGAAGAGAAACAGGAAGACTTGAGGATGGAAAACTGTGACTGGATATAGGGAATGCATCAGAATCACTCCCAGGTGGAGGGATTATCACCCCCTCTTTGGAGGGATTAGGACTTTAAATACATTATGGGAAAAGCTGTGATGACTCAAGTTAGCATGCTTACAATACAAAAATGTTATTTGTGAATTTTGAATTGAAAAAAATCAATCCTATTGCAAAAGATTTCTAAATAATCCATCTATACAAACACTGTTGTTGGCCAGAGAACTTGGGGTGGATTTACTAGATAAAACTTCTGAATCTTTGTGCTTTTGCGATTAAAAAGTAGTTCAGAAATGACAATTTTCAGGATACCTAAGGATTTCTTTTCTGAATGGTTATGCTCTGAATTTAACAACAGAAACTAACTGGTCATATCTGAGTCTGTTTTCCTCTTTCAGAGTCTTTGGGGTCTTGAAGTCTGATTTCAGGTTTAAGTGCATTCAGGTCTCTCAGCTCAATTACTATGGCCACCCCCACCCATGCGATTCAAAATAAAAACCAAATAAAACTACAAAATAAGTGAAGCTAATGTTATCCATCATTCTGATTTTTCTCCCATGATGATTTAAATGCTTTTTAAAAAATTACTTTCCCGAATTGGGTAATTCCAGGTGTTGATATCCTAGCTTTGTCGCACTTAGCCTGCTACTGAGTAAACCAGTCCCTTTATGGAACTCACCCATAGATGGCATATCTGAGAGGCCCGCTGACATCTAGCTTTTGAGAGCAGTTTTCTTTTTTCTGCTTCTTCTCAATCAGCTGGGCCAGGAAGTTCCCAAGTGCTGACAAAATGCCACTGTGGAGAGAGGGGTATTCAGAAAACAGAAATGAACTACAGGGGCTGGGGGAGGGGGGGCATCTATTCCTGCACATAATTAGCACAGTGGTTCGAAGAACATGCTGGGGATGGGTGGAGATGAACCTTATCAGAGCAGCGAAATGTAAGTTCCCTGCATGAAAAGGTGGAGATGGCAGAACTTAATACACACACAGAAGCATGGTAAGATTTCCAATTGGTGGGTTGTATAAGTGTCATATCTGGATTGTGGTGCTATCCTTTAATTTTGGAAAAAGTTACCCTGTGTAGTTATAAAAGGGCAACGAAAGGGATCCTTATGACAAAAGTTTTCTGTATTTTGACTCCGGTGGTAGACACACAAACCTATACATGTGACAAAACTGCATAGAACTTAACACCTACGGTCACAGAGGAGTACAAGAAAAGCTGGGGAAATCTGAATATGTTTTATGGTCTGTTATCTATACAGTGTCCTGGTTGTGATACTACAGTTTTACAGAATGTTGCCAATGGGGGAAATTGGGGAAATTATACAAGGGATCTCCCTGTGTTGTTTCTTACAACTACATGCGAATCTGGGCTTCCCAAGTGGCACTAGTGGTAAAGAACCCACCATGCAGGAGACGCAAGAGACATGGGTTCGATCCCTGGATCGGGAAGATCTCCTGGAGGAGGGACTGGCAACCTACTCCAGTTATTCTTGCCTGGAGAATATCATGGACAGAGGAGCCGGGTGGGCTACAGTCCACAGGGTTGCAAAGAGTCAGACATGACTGAAGCAACCTGGCACACGCGCACATGTAAATCTACAATCATCACAATAAAACTTTCAAATAGAAAGGTGAAGACAGGCTCAGCTACTAAATAATTGGTCTATAACTGCATTCTGAGAAGCTTTCTAAGCTATAAAGTCCAAAATTCTTGGAAGAGACAAGGAGCCTCTTGATCTGATCTTTCACTACTTCTTCCTCATCCTCTTCCTTGGTTGTTGTTCATTTTCTCCAGGAACACAGGCCCATCTTCCACTCCACTACGATTAGATTGCTCCTCCCTCAGGACCTTTGCTCCGGCTGTGCCCTCTGCCCTCTGATTCCCTTTTTTGCATGGTCTGTTCCTTCTTCAGGCTTCTATTTAAGTGTCACCTCCTCAAATAAAATTTCCATGACCACTTTATCTGTGTTATACATTTATCTACTTTTTGACTAGTTCTTTACTAGAATGCAAGATCCGTAAGGGTAGGGACAGGACCTACTTATCTTAATCATCACTAATGCTCCCCAGAAAGGAAGCAGCTGTACACATGTATGAAAGGCTGTATTAATAAAAGGGGACAAACTTGTAAAACGGATTAATTAAAAGGAAGGGGGGATGTTTCATAAAATGTTTAGTACTGCAAATCAAAGGGCCCACCTAACTGCAGCATGGAGGGCACTGTGTCAGCTTTCTCCCAGATGCAAAGCTGCTGAAGCATGTCTTAACACCTCCCACCAGGTCTCACCTTCCTCTTCCTAAAGGCGTTCACCTCAACCCATTTAGTGCATCCTGTGGTGGTTGTGGTTTAGTTGGGAAGTCCTGTGCGACTCTTGCAACCCCAGGGTCAGTAGCCCCAGCCCGCCAGGCTCCTCTGTCCATGGGATTTCCCAGGCAAGAATACTGGAATAGGTTGCCATTTCCTTCTTCAGGGACTCTTCCTGACAAAGGAATGGAACCCAGGTCTTTTGCATTGCAGGCAGATTCTTTACGACTGAGCCACCAGGGAATTCACAGCCTATCCTGGACTCAAAACAAGAGCAGGTACTAGGGAAGCTCCAGTCTAACCTAGCCTCAAAACAAGAGCTGATACTAATGAGCCGGAAGGTAGCAGCAGAACCTGCGCAGAGCCGAGCGGGTGACAGACGTTTCCCCCGTCCCCATTTACTCCGGACGACCACTACCTCCGGGGCAGAGGGGCCAGAAGCCCCGAGGTCTGCAGCAAGTCCTTCAGCTCGTGCACTCCTTTAGTCTGGTCCCTGGGTCCACATTTTAGGGTGTTCACGAGTTACAGCTCGGAACCGAATATACAGAACCGCACGTGGGGTCATTTTGATACACCGAGATTTTGCCTTCCACATTCAAACCCCCACGATGGATGCACCTATGGGGCTGGGTCACCGGCCGACCGAGCTCTGGCCCGCGCCCCCGTCCACCGCCCCGTCCCGTCCCCTCCTCCGCCGCTCCGCGCAGACCTGGTGGCCGCTTTGGTGAGTACTGGGTAGAGCCGCAAGAGGCGCAGGTACTGGGAGAGTGCCCGCCGCGGGAGCGGCCCTAGTCCAGCCTCCGTCCGCAGCTTCGACGCCGCCGGCGCCATCGCCTTCCCCAGGCCACGCCCACCGGGGACACCGACCCCACTCCTGGCCTGCCGGGCGCTGGGCCCAGGGCGCGGGTCGGGGACGGCCGGACATTTCCCGCCCCGCCGCGTCCCGCAGTGCCGCCTGGTACAGACCCCTGGATACGCGACGCGCACCTCTGCGCACTTTTCCCGGACTCCCTAACGGGCCACCTCCCCCTCGGGCGCCGGCGGCGATTGGAGCTTTGCGGGGCGGGGTGCGACGAACCTCCTGATTGGGCGGTGGGGCGCTTCCGACCTCTCGCGAGAGTTATTTTAAGCGCGCCAAATTTCTACAGGGAAGTGGCGGCGGTGGCTGCAGCGCTATGGTTCTGAGGAATACCGGGCGACTGCGCGCGGAGCCGGGCGCGGACGGGGAGCCCAGCCGGTGAGACAGGTGGCAGGCGGGCGCCGAGGACATTCCTTTCGGCCTGGCGGCGCAGGAGCGCCCCCTCCTTAGCGCGCGCGCGCGTCATCCGTGAGCAGCGGCGAGAGCGCATAGGGCGCTCCACTCGGCCGCCCGACGTGGGCTCGCGGTTAAGAGTCCGGCAGCTCTCCGAAGCTGCCCCCTCTCCTCGCCGTCTCCTTGTTGGCGCGGTGTCCGAGGTCCTCCGCCTGCGGCCCGGCGGCAACGCCACGGGGAAGGGGCGGCTCTAGGACGGGGGCGGGGAGGAGGAACGCGCCACAGCCTGGCTCCTGCTGATGCTGCACTGCCCACCAGTTCTCAGGGTAGTTAAGTAGCTGAGGGTGTCCGGAGGGTGTCCGGTTATGCTAGGAGCAAGCGGAGGCCTTGCAGCCTAACCTCCGGTCGGCGCCGCAGGCCCGCGGTCGGCGCGTCTTGTGCTGGAGTGAGGGCGGTGGGGCCGCAAGTCTCCGGCCTCTAGGGTCCAGCCCCAGGTCGGGGCGGCCCTGACCGCGGTGTCGGCAAGGCTGCGGAGTAAGGAGAGCAGCTTTTGACTTAGTTCTAAGGTCAGAAGTCCTAAAAATTAAGATGTGACAGGAGTTCTGAAAGCTTTAGGGGAGAATCTCTTTTCTTGCCCTTTGTAGCTTGTAGAGGCTTCTTCCTCTCTTTTCAAAAACAACACTGTCACATTTCCAGCCTCACTCTCCTTCTCTCTGTCTCTAATTTCTGGCTTTTGTAAAGAACCTTATGATTACGGTGGGTCCACCCAGATAATCCCTATCTCAAAATAAAGTCATCACACCTGCAAACTCCCTTTGGTCATGTAAGATAACAGAGGTTCCTTGGATTAGGACACAGACATCTTTGGTGTGGGGGCTGTCAATTATTCTCTCTACAGTAGGTGGCTATAATTTTTTGTGAAAAATAAGGGTCCTCATCTTGAAATAGGTCATTCTGTTCTTCACGTGTAGGTGACCCAAAGAATATCTTCAGGCAAAAGAGTTTTTCTTAAGCAAAATTCTCTGACCACTTATGTTTATAAATTAATAACTAATGAATCATGTTACAGTAATTAAAGACATGAATTCTGCACAGGCTTGGTTCAGATCTTTTTTTTTTCTCTAACTAGTCTCTGTTTTGTATATTTAGCTTTCTTAGACTGTTTCCTTTCTTAGACTGCACCATTCTAGACACATACATATTTTTTTCTCTGCTTATTGATTTATAATAAAGTAGCTCATTTATTTACATTAAGACAAAAAGTCATGGAGTATGGATTCTTAGCTGTACATTTTTGAGGAGTGGAGAATATAGTTGGCTTAACTAATAAAGAGGCCTTCAGCCCAAAATATACAGGGGCCAGAATCTCAGAACTGCAGTTTAAAGAAGAAACTATTAATAGCATTTGCTTTTTAAGTTGGAATGCTAATATGGTAATTATTCTGTTTTGAAGATGAATAAGCCATAATTATCGTATTCTATCTAGATGGGATCACACCTGTGAAATTAAAAGATTGTGAACAATTTGGGATTATTTTATTTTGTTTTATTTTATTTTGGGGGGATTATTTTAATCTCTGGAATCAAAATAGGTTTGGATAGTTCTGTTGATGGAAAGTCTTTGTCAAGTACTTAATTTAAGGTTTATGATAAAATCTATATGAACAGTTATTTAACCCTAAGCTGAGAAAGGCTTGGGAGGGTTGAGGCAGATGTAACTGAGCTGGGAAGTGATTTCCCTTGTCAGTTGAGATAGTTCCTCTCACACTGAACAATGTTATATCCCCATTTTTATTCACATGTGGTTCTTCCAACATCCAGACTCAGGTGTCCCAGAAGGTATATCATACTTTTAAGGTACAGTTTATTCTACCACGACAGGTATTTCTGTAACCCTAGTTTGCTCACATGTAGTTTGGCAAACAGGAGAATATCAGTAAAATGTGGAGATTGTATTGGTTCATTTGCAGTTTTCCCTAGGCAAGGGGGTCAGAATCGAGTAGAATTAAACAATCTTCAGTAGAGAAGGAAAGAGCCCTTGGCTGGAGTGCGGCACAGATGTGTGCCCTGTTGGCTCTGTTTGAAGAAAATTTTATCTGAGTGCCTGTACCAGTGCCTCCCTCCAATCTCAGGTGGCAGGCTACACTTTTCTCCTCTACTCAACAGTCATAAACCAGGACCTTGCCTCTTGTGTTATGCATTTAAACAAACAACTCTGTAGAAACATGGTTATTGACTTTGCTGTATAGAAATTAAAGCTACCTTTCAGTGTTATAAGCCAGCTAAAAGAGAAAATGGCTTAGCATGGAACATAGCTTTCTCTGTGCACTCAGATACTGAACTGCACAGCCCAGCACACTGCAGCCATCCTGGTTTCACTTTCCTAGCACGAGATAACACTTCCCCAGATGTGCTGCAGCCCCCTGGTGGTTGTATGAGTGCTGTGTTCATTTACATGCGCCTTGAAAAGTGTTCAGTAAGTATTTTTCCGACTCAAATTACAAGACTTGAAAACACAAATGAATTAGTTCATTCAAGTTATCTCAAATAACTCTGACGTTACAGAATTTTTATGTTGAAGACAACAAAAAGTGAGTATTTCTCTCTGTTTCTGTTGGTCTTCAATAAATATCACAAATGCTATTTATCAAGCACGCACTCTACAAAAAATTCTGTCTGCACATCATATGTATCATGTGATTTAATCATCACTGTTGATTTTTGGTAGAAGTAGTCTCCAACTTGGTCATTCTTTATTTTTTAAAAAATTACTTATTTATTTATTGGCTGTGCTGGGTCTTCATTGCTGCGGGAGCTTCCCTCTACTTGCAGAGAACCAGCGAGCCATAGCTACTGTCTAGTTACAGTGAGCAGGCTTTCTCGTCGCCTTGGCTTCTCTCGTTGCGGAACATGGGCTCTAGGTGCCCCGGCTTTAGTAGTTGCAGCACATGGGCTCCCGGGCCCTGGAGCACAGGCTCAGTGGTTGTGGTGCTCCACGGCGTGTGGGGTCTTCCTGGACCATGGATCAAACCCAAGTTCTGAAAATCCTGTGTGGTCGAATATGGTTAATTGCATTTTTTTGCAAGAAACAAACTAATAATACATTTGGGTACCATCATTTTAAAAATAGAGAAAACTTTTTGAGATAATTGTAGGTTCTTAGCAGTTGTAAGAAATTACACAGAGGGAAGACCCAGAGGGATGGGATGGAGAGGGAGGCGGAAGGGGAACACATGTAAATCCATGGCTGATTCATGTCAATGTATGGCAAAAACCACTACAATATTGTAAAGTAATTAGCCTCCAACTAATAAAAGTAAATGGAAAAAAAAATTAAAGAAAAAAAAAGAAATTACACAGAGATCCCTTAACCTAATTTCCCCCAGTGGTAAACAGCTGACATAACTAGAGTGCAGTGTCACAACCAGGAAATTGACATGATACAACAATGCATGAGCACTCGTTTACATGTGTGTAGATTTAGTTCTGTGCACTTTCTGTGTTGGTGACCACCACCACAGTCAAATCACAGAACAGTTCTGACCCAAGGGTCCCTTATGCTACCTTTTTATAGCCGCAGCCATCTATCTCCCTTCCTCCATTAATGGCTAATCTCTTCTCCATCTCTAAAGAATGTTATATAAGTGGAATAAAGTATGTAATTTGGGGGAGTAGGTTTTTTCACTCAGCCTAATTCCTTTGAAACCATTCTAGGTTATTGCATGTATCAATAAGTTTGTTACTGGTGAATTGTATTCCATGGGAAGGATATAACACAGGTTAACTGTTCACCTGTTGAAGAGTATCTGGGTTGTTTCCACTTCTTGTCTATAATGAAAAAGTTGCAGTGAATGTGCACATGCAAGTTTTTTGTGTGAACATGAGTTTTCTTTTGTCTGGGATAACTGCTCAGGATTGCAATACTGGGCTTTATGCATTTTTTTAACTACCCCATGAGGCAGCATGTCCAGCCAAGATTGTTTTTATTAGTGTTCTAGTTACATAGTTAAACAAGTTTTGACGTCAGTATGATGTCAAACAATATGACATCCCAGTCATATTTTTCCTATGAGTCCTGTTTTCTTAATGATCATTTTTCAGGGATGCTCCTACCGTGTCACATCTGAAATGCTTACACTGGGTGGGCTGAGGGTTGCGGGTGTAGAGTGTCATGATCAGTGGAGACTGGATCTCCCTCCTTTCACTCAGGGATGATGGCCCCTCTTCCTCTGTCTCCGCACTCAAGCGCCTGGAGCGCAGTCAGTGGACAGATAAGATGGATCTGCGGTTTGGTTTTGAGAGACTCAAGGAGCCGGGTGAGAAGACAGGCTGGCTCATCAACATGCACCCTGTAAGCTCCTGTGCTTTTCCTCCATCTTCCTCCTCCCATTCAGGAGGGCAGCACAGCCCTTATCTGAAGAGTAGGTGACACCTGGCGGGAACATGTTGTGGACCATCCAGGTAGAGATGGGATTGTTTGCAGCTCTCCTGCTTTCCTCTTTAACTTGTTTGGGTCTTCTCCGGGTCATTAAGAGGTCACTGGAATAACAAAGGTGAGGGGCATCCCTGTTACCCATAA